ATTATATTATATTATATTTTACTTATTATTAATAATATTAATATTTTAAAGACTAAGAAAGTGTCCCGGAGTTTTGTGGCTGTCCCGGAATTTTGTGGTCAACTAAGTGGCTGGCCCACTTAGTTGTCAACGGGTATGCCAAGTTTCTCGAAGCACATTTGATCAAGTGGTGGATAATCCATAGGCTTGGCCGCCGATCATCATATCCTGGCCTCCCGAAACCTAATATCATACGATAGTGCTTGTAATCTTCGGGCTTTTTCTGCGCGCCAAGGTCCCGTAAAAGCTTTAACCGCGACAATCTGGAGCTGTAGACGTTGGTGGCCTTTTATCGCATGACATTCTGGTGCAGAAAACACAAAAGAACCGATCCAGTTTCACACCGCATGTCAAGAAAAATATTATCAAACGTCAATTGCTAATTTTGGCATTACCTAACTCCCAGTGTACATTGTGTATTCCATACTCTGCTTATTTCGAGCATTGGCAAGATTACAGATCCAAGCAAATCACCTAACTACTCTCAGGCTCGAGTCCAATCAGGTCCAAAACACGGTCGACTGCCTCTGCGCTCCCGGGAACGCTATTGCCCATTTCCTTTATCAATTGCCTGGCTTCAGCTACTAGCTCGTCAATTTTTTCTTTGCAGTGTTCAAATGAACCCGTTGCCTTTATGCATTCAACTGCAAATAACTTGACGTCAACGTCTGTTGTCCGCTGTTTCAGGATGCTAGAAAGTTGGATATTTGTCGGATCCGAACGAATGCTGTGAATGATGGGAAATGAGTATTTTCCCTCGGTTAGATCTTCTCCAAACCCTTTATTGACAGTGTATGCGTGACTTTGCAAGTTGAGGTAATCATCGCGAATCTGGAAAATAACTCCCAGTACATTGACAAGCGGCACAAAGTCACTGGTGGTTGAGTAATAATATTAGCATCGCTCTTCAACTTTTAACACTTGTTGGGAAACAAACCAGTTTTTGTCGCTCGCAAGTTGCATTAGCCTGATTGCTAGACGAAATAGCCCACCTGTTTTATGGGAGACCATGGAGAAATATTCCTCTTCGGTCGGACACTTTGAGGCTTCCCTCCAGTATATATCCATGCCCTGACCGCGGTGAAGGCTTAACAGCTCCTCCGTATAGATTTCAAAAGCCTTTGGGTCTCCCAGCTTTGGGAGTTCCTGTTGCGCGAGAAAATAGGCGTAGTTGGCAGCATTAATTGTCTGAGGGACTCCAAAGATATGATGCGATACAGGGAGACCACGACGAAGCTTAGATGAGTCCTGGATGTCATCTATACTATAACTCAGGTTTAGCAATTACGGTCACAGTAACATTATAGTAAAACATACAGAAGTGACGCATTATGTAGTAACATAATAATTCGCTTAATAACTTCAAGCTTGTCGACGGGAATACATAGCCACTCGTTAAAGGCTGAGATCATCTTGCTCCTTACATCTTTGCCGGGAAGGTTCAGAAGGTAGTCGAACGGAGCTCGGATAATCTAGCAGGTTATCTCGAATTAGAACTTTATGGCAGCCCCCTTTTACTTAGCCAAGCAATCATTAACAAATGCAACATACCTCCTCATAACCGGCGGCAATAGAGGAATGCGAAAGTGCTGCATCTTCTGCCAGTGGCTGTATTTCCAGCACTGGTGAGTTCAGCTCATTTGAGTTAGGTTTGTTTGTAGCCATTGTGAACAATGCTTAAAAGGGTGTGTAGCTTCTTGTGAGTTACGTAAACAAATTTAATATAAAGAGCATATAAAGGAGTCCCAAGTTTCTATTACGCTCCGAATATATATATGAGAATAAGTTAAGTACTCGTGCATTTCATGAGCGGCAATGCAATCTCTGAGTCATGGGGTAATTCCGCCCAGCTAGGAGCCTAGTAGTAGGAGGGGCCGGTACGATGCCCCCCGGCAGATTCTGTGCTGACACTTAAGAAAGGTATGGGTACAAGGCACCTGTGTTTATGCTATACAAAGCTGACTATTGATATATGCCTGGAATCAGCTCTGCAATTGAGTTTTGGCATCTACTATGTTATTATTCTGCAGACTGCTGGAGCTTTTTTTGCGCCTTATATATACTCTTAGTACTCTTTTACTAGATAGCAAAACAAAGATTCTTTCATCAAGGTGATAAACATATTTTTATCGCTCTACGAAGTGCCTTGTTTGGTATATTCGTTTCTATACATGTAACGTAGCATATGAATCGGCCAAAATCGCTGTTTGAAACGTGAACTGTAGAGAAATTAGCAGATTTCTACTCCATTCCCCATTGCAATACACTAAGTTTCTCTGACCGTAACTCTGCTTCCAATCCTAGAGGAGATCCATCAACCACTTATAGTTAGAGCGTATACATAATGCATTGTAATTGCTACACGTAGCCTCCGAATAACCTGAAAATTTCGGTCATTTACGTAACTACAATTGTCTTCCTCTCAAGTCATATCGTATAGTTACATCATTCCATTAAAGATAATACCCCTGGCCCGCTACCATCGATTACGACAGGGTCTATCAGGGGTGATGGAATAGTGGCTGTGAGAAACAATGATTGCAAACGCCCTGGAGGTGCTCGTATCAAATGGCCTTACCCCTGGGCCGGTTATTCCACTTATGCGCAAGGCTTACTGGAAAGCCAAGCCCCAGCCGCCATGAACCATGCCCAGCCAAGGACCCGGTCTTGGGGCTAGGCACGCCCGTGTCCCCCCCCCCCAAAGCTACTACTATCCCTCAAAATTAAATTCCATGCTAACTACTTGGCTCCTCGTATGATTCCTCTTTGTCTTATTTGGAACTCGGCTTATTCGGTGAAATGTTCCGAAGCCTACAATAGCCATATCGGAGCACACTCGCGGCATCTCTTCTCGCGTAATAGATACGTCCTGGTTTTTGTACTAGTTGTCAAGACTAGACAACCCCCCAAGAATAATTAGACTTCTTGCGGTGCTGTTTTTATTTTATTCGTTTCCAATGTCTCAAAGACGTTTCAAAGTCATCATTATTGGCGGTTCCGTAACGGGCCTGACGTTGGCTCACAGCTTGCATAAAATTGGAGTTGACTATGTAGTCCTCGAGAAAAGGCACACAGTCACACCACAGGAAGGGGCGTCCATTGGAATATTGCCCAATGGCGCTAGGATATTAGATCAACTTGGTCTCTATGAAGCTATCAAGGATGAGGCGCCACCTCTAGGGGCCACACGTATCCATTTTCCAGACAAATTCGTTTTCACCAGCTTGTATCCCAGCAAAATTCTTGAAAAGTATGCAAGTCTCTACTTCGGATGTAAGTAAATTAAAAATGCTAACAAGAAATAGTTTCGGGTATCCAATCGTTTTCTTAGAGAGAAGACAACTTCTCCGCATTTTATATGATGCTCTTCCTGATAAGACAAAGCTTCACGTCAACAAGACCGTGTCTACTATTGAGCATTTCACAAAGGATCAAGTGGGAGGTGCTCGCGTCTTGACCAAGGAGGGGGATGTGTATGAAGGAGATCTAGTTGTTGGTGCCGACGGAGTACACAGTCAGACTCGGAGAGAGATTTGGCGTCGGATAACCTCGTCAAAGTCGGTTGCTGAAACAGCTGCGTCCATCGATAAATGTAGGTGCAATCTGTTTCATTTGTAAAGAGTATCTACTAACGAGCTATCCCAGATATTCTAATAGAGTATTCCTGCTGCTTTGGTATTTCAAAATGCGTCACAGGCCTCACTTCCGGAGAGCAAGTTATGCATATGGAAAATGGACGAACCCTAGTGGTAATTCCATCTAAAGATAAGGTGGTGTTTTGGTTCTTGGTCGAAAAGCTTGATCGAACATATAGATACAGTGAAGCCCCTCGATTCACGGCTGATGATGCAACCGCACTATGCTCGCAAGCCTTCACGCTACCAATTAAGAACGGCATTACATTCGAGGATATTTGGAATAAAAGAGATGTTGTCAACATGCTTGGCCTGGAAGAGAGCTGTCTCAGCACGTGGTCAACTGGTAGACTGGTCTGCATTGGCGATAGTATTCACAAGGTAAGCCTGCCCTTTTGAATAAACAGGAGTTGTGCTTAGCTATTGACAAATTCCCTGTGAGCAGATGACAATCAACCTTGGACAGGGAGCTAATTGTGCTATTGAAGACGTGGCTGTTTTGTCCAACCTACTACGAAATATATGCGAAGCAAATTCTGGCACACTACCAACGGAGCTAGAAATTGATCTGTTGCTCAGAAGATTTAAGAAGGAACACCTCTCTAGAGTAACGCAGATTACTAACATGTCGAGGCTGACAGTCCGTGTTCATGCCCGAAAGGGACTGCTTCACAGGTTTATTGGAAGATATGTAATGCCATACTTTGGCGAATATTTCGAAGCTCGACCTTTCAACATGCTTGCTGATGCTGCTGCCTTGGATTTTATACCTCTTCCCAAGTCATCATTCCCAGGTTGGGAAAAGTATAGCAGCAAAAGCCGTGGAAATATTAGGCTCTGGCTACTATTATTTATTCTTCCGCTTCTATGTTTTGGAATATCCTGGGTTGTGGGTATATATTGGAAAGATTGACATTTGTATACTGGGAAATACTAGCACCATCATAAATCTGGTTTCGACGAATACATTGTAGCTCAATAAGATTAGAAGATTTGCAGGTCTGAAGACCGGTGGGAGAGTTTAGTTCAACGTCAATACTAAATACGGGTGGATAGAGCATATAACGACCAATGCCGTAACCCTCTCGGGGGCCTTGGCAAAGTAAGTTGTTGACCGAGCTACACGCACAGACCTTAGGCAACGGCACCGGTATGAGTCTCTACTACCATGGTCTCAACAATTTCTAGTCGGCTATTAGAGCAGGCCTGAGATGCTAAACCTCCTCGTTGACGTGCGACGAAGTCCCATAACATTAGGCATTGCTTCAACCAGGCGGCTCGTAAGCGCAAAAATGGATCCACGGCGGTTCATTTATGCTCAAGGCCAGAAGCATGTCTTGGCGAGAGACATAACGTTTTGTAAAGCGGCGACTGGGGACTCAATTAAACCCCCGGCATTCATCCACCCCATGCTACAACGGGGATAAAGGGGCCAGAGGAACAGAATAACGGCTATGGGGAGCAGTCGAGCATATCACACAATCAGTAGGTGTTTGTGAAGCCACAATGAATAATATGTGAGGCTAATAGCTAAATTCGACCTGTTCGGTCGCATATTGCATTAAGTTCCATTTGACCGTGTCGGCCAAGCCGACGGTGGGCTGACAAACACGCCCGCTGCCAATATTATTCTCATCTCACTTGTCATCCAATAAGGTTTACGTATTTGGAATAGCACCTAGTTTACGGCCGAATAGCCCGAGTTGATATGAGAAACGAATATTTGATATTTGATATAGCGCCGTAACTTCAGTTTGGGATATTGTGGCTGATCATGTTCGAGTGTTTTCGTCACGAGCTTCAGGAGCAGAATACTTCCCCGAAGAAGTACCAACCTACCCACTTGTACTGCAACGGGGTACAGCCCGGAACCATGGTAAGATGGCACCAGCATGGCAAGATTTGGCTTCCGGGATCGTCTCAGGGTCTGGTCATGGTGCTAACCGTAACTAAACAAAACCGGAAATCATAGACGCCTGCTATTGGATTTCCCGGTTGCCCATTAGCCAGGCTGTTAGAGCCTCATACTTTCTACGTGGCATCATCGAGTGGACGCCCATGGTCTAGCATTGCGGCACTCGTGGCGATCCCTGCTCCCTGCGCACCGGCAGACGAAGCGCTACGAGGCGAGGCTGTGAAGCAGACTCCTCGGAACGCGGAAAGTACGTAAAAAAATGAAGCTCACTTATTTGTTTTCTCCACATTATTCTTTATTTAGGTCCTCTGTAACGTATTACAGTAAAGCGATACTACGCCCAGCATTTATGGAATCCGCGAAATTAGATTTTGCTTATTCTCTATACGCGTTTTGGAAGAGTCTTGGAAGCCGAGATAAATGAAAACGTCCCCGCAAGCATTGAGCCATGAATTACATGAGAGAATCGCAACATTAGACATATGCAAACTCAGTATTAATCGCGTATGTTCTCTTGAGTGAGGAATAGCAAATAACATGCCATTGACTCTTGTTGAGTGCGACGGGGAGTCAACATGTGCTGGATTCGTCTCCTCACACAACTACAGATGCAGGGACACGACTGGCTCGCTTAATGCACAAGGGTCTGAGTCGTACTGGGATTTATCATAGCTAGTTGAAGAGTAACTGATGGTCACTTGTTTGGGCAATACAGGCACATGTGCTCTAGCCTATTGAACACTTGCAAAATGGCCCCATCGTGTCTGGTGCTTCGCATGATTGTGGCCTGACTCAATGTCCAAAAAACCGTCTGGTGCCATGTCTCCGCCAATTCCTTGCCGTTTTTTCCAGACGCTAGCGGGCCTGAAAAATATACTTGCCCAGACTAGTAACCGTTCGGGTTAATGCCGCTACAACGATTACTTGGCGCATGGTAATGAAGACACTTTTGATCGTAGGAGGTTGCACCCCATATAACCGGTGATAAGCCGTTCCTCTCATGGCGAGATAATCACCTCTCCGTATTTACATGATGTCCAGGTAATATGGAGAAAACGGCCGCACGATCCTGGATTGAAAGATGGTCCCACGCTATGTATATCAGCCTGCTAGGACTGGGGTCCCAATACATTTTTTCCCCGAGGCCCTTATTTCACGGTTCTTGTCGAACCCAAAGAGACCTTTATTTTTTTTCTCTGACCCTATTCGACAACTAGATAAGTCCAACTTGTACAGATGACACGTCTCTCCCTTCGGCTTATTGCTGGCCTCGCTGGACAGGCTTGGTTGGTTAACTCTGATACACCCAATCATAATGCGTTAGCCTCTTGCCTTTCGGATGCTAGTGTACCCAATGCAATAAAGGGCACACCAGAATGGACACAACATACTACCCCTTTCAATACGCGTCTTCAGTATGAGCCTATTGCTGTCGCCGTCCCTACCGAGATCGCTCAAATCGCCGCGGCGGTAACGTGCGCTAAGAAATATAGCATCCCCGTCACGGCTAAAAGTGGCGGCCATAGTTTCACCTCACTTGGCCTTGGAGGGGAAGACGGGCATCTTGTTATTCAACTGGATCGGATGTATAATGTCGAGCTTACTCAGAATGGTACGGCGCGAATCCAGTCCGGTGCAAGATTAGGCCACGTTGCCGTCGAGTTGTACAATCAAGGCAAGAGAGCACTTTCACATGGATATTGCCCGGCGTATGTTGTTACACAAGCTATTATAAGTTGATGCACTAATAGAACTTAGTGTTGGCGTCGGCGGTCATGCTGCCCATGGAGGGTATGGAATGGTCTCGAGAAAGTATGGCCTTACTCTTGATTGGATGAAAGACGCTACCGTTGTTCTGCACAATGGTACAATTGTGCATTGTTCCGAGAGCGAGCATTCAGATCTTTTCTGGGCTATTCGAGGTGCGGGCTCCTCCTTCGGCATTGTAGCAGAGTATGGGTTCGAAACTTTCCCTGCTCCTGAGAAAGTAACGAATTTTGGAATCGTCTTGGATTGGAACCAAGAAGCCGCCTCTTCTGGTCTCCTCACATTCCAAGACTTTGCAGAAACTATGCCCAGCGAGCTGTCATGCCAAATTGACGTCAGATCGACTGGCTACACACTCAACGGTTCATATGTTGGCAATGAGGCTAGTCTTCGTGAAGCACTGGAGCCTATACTGGAGAAGATGGGTGGACGTCTTGAAGTACATGAAGGAAATTGGCTTGAATATGTGCAGTTTTGGGCGTTTGGTCAGCCTAATATCGATATAACACCGCCCGCAGATAACGTGGTAAGTTGCCTAATCCCACACATCGTTCTATATGAAGACTAAGGTAAATGTAGCATTTGTCACTCTACACGACAGGCGCCCTTACCCCCTCTCTCTCGGCCGATCAATTCAGATCATTTGCCAACTACGTAGCCACAGACGCTACAAAAAGACGCAATTCATGGTCGATTCAAATGTTCATACATGGTGGCCAGTTTTCTGCTATTAGTAGACCAAAGATTACCGACACAGCCTATGCGCATCGAGACAAGTTCCTTATTTTCCAGTTCACTGATTTTGTTTGGCCTGGCCAAGAGTATCCCGAGGACGGGCTTGCCCTTGGTCGAGAGTTTAAGGATATTATAACTAAGTCCTTTACAAATGGTCAATGGGGCATGTATGCTAACGTTCCAGACTCTCAGTTGAGCCCGGGCGAAGCTCAGAAATTGTACTGGGGCGAGAACCTTGGGAGGTTGGAAACTGTCAAGGCGAAATATGACCCCGACAATTTGTTTAGGAATCCCCAATCAGTCAAGGCTCCGGCCCGGTGTCCAACAAGACCACTGCCCTTACAAGGTCAAAGTCCTTTCATTCAAATATCCTCTGAAATGGACGTACCAGCGAGTCCTTTTAAATTGCCTTAGGTCTCCTCTGTTTTACGCTGAGTCGGGAGTTTGGTTGAATCGGGCCCAACGCCCTCTTGTAGATAGTCAGGCCAGAAAAGATACTCTAGTGTATTGTTACTACGTTATATAAAATTATTTATCTCTCGGCCAGGGAGTACTTATTAATACGCGCGCTAGCGGATTCGAGGCTTCAAATATTAAAAAAAAAACATTCAATAAAATCGCGCTTGCCGAAATTCAAACTGCTATTCCTGTTGTTATCTGATAATGCCGATTCGCATACCTGTATGGCGGGCTTCCTAAGTATTAAGGTAGGTGACAGACGTTACTGGAATTGAATGCCTGTCTCGTACCCCTCAAAATTGCAGTTTGGCAACTTGATATTCATTTATGCTATTAATCCCTTGCGAAGCAATTCAAGAGGCCCGAGATAAAGGGATCTCCTCCTGTATCACTAGCATATGAGTCCCGTTTGTAATAAAGTGCTTCGTAAACAACCCCAGAGTATCATTAGTACAGGGTGTACTGCAAATGCAGCCATGATGACTTGGCCTACTCCCACGGTTGCGTGAGCGCTTTCACCAGTTGCATTGATAGCGTACGCGCTGTGGCTTCATCGAGAATCCTCAAGCCAAAACTGGTCGGACTCTTGAATTATATTGACGGCATTGTGCATGCAATGACTTTTGAAACATGCACGATACAATGTGGTCCGGGTCCTGCCCAAGGGGTTATTTTGCGACGATAGCTGCTTTGAATAAGGCGAGGAGTTGCTCATCAATTCCATACGTAACTCTCCGTTTCCAAGCCTAATTTTGATTCAAGTCCTCAGCGAAAACGCCCGCACTCAGAACCAAGGGCAAAACTATGGAGGCTGTGGCTTGATATTACCACGGCGAATCGGCAGAGATCGTCTAACGTTGCTGACTGAAGTTCAAGCTTCGAGCGTGAATGTGGCGCAATTTATTATTAGTAGTTAGACGTCTTTATTCCCTTTAAACTCGCGAAAGCAGCATAGTCGTAGTAGGATGCAGCGCACGAATCCTGTGGGGAAACCCTCAAAGGCTACTTATAGATCTGGGCGTTTGAAAGTTTATGAGCTGTTTTGTGTACAAAGAAACTTGGCGACGAGTATAGTCAACTCTACTACCCCTTGAATGCTATCACTAGCTTAAAACGAGCACTAACTGCCAATATTAAGAAGGTGTAATAATGACAGTCCCTCATGCTATTGTAACCGGAGTCTTGTTATGCACTTGTGCCTACCCGCTTACAAATTATAATGCATATCGGTGCTGTAACCAGTTTTAGCCTTCTTGTTGTGACACAATTCACAATATACCGGGCACTTGGGACTCCATTAAACGTATTGTGTGACAAGAATGGCAAGTGCACTCTTTCCCTTCCTTAAAGAGGGTGTTTACTATCAGGTAATGCTGCTGTATATATATACTCTGCTGACAGAAATGAGCTACCTTGCAGGCGGACACTTTCTGAGCAGGATCAACTAGCCTATATGGATGCAGTGAAGTGCTTGAAATAGCAGCCAGCTCAGCTTGGCAAGCCTTATGAGGGTGTGCGCTCTCGTTTTGACGACCACCAAGTCACACACATTAACAACACCGACTGTATTCACTGTATCACGAGAAAGAACGCGCTCTAATTTAATAGCAATTATACCCCCTTATATTCCATTGACACACTGGTTTGTAAGTTGCTTCGTAATCTTTCACCAGAGTTTGCGTCAAAGTGTGATATTTATTAACCAAATACATTATACGCAAAGCCTTGTGACTTTTTGGCCCTAAACCTTGCCAGAATATTACCCTCGACTCTCCGATAGACTTCCAAGGTCTCTTAACTACTAACAGCCAGATCCGGACAATAGGCAACGTGATGGGCACCCAGGGCTATACAAATTCCTTTAAAATCATAGAATAGTGCCGGCTCAATGACATATTGGTCACGAGCCGAGGCATTTCGTTCAGCTAAGCATTAGCACCAAGAGTCCATGAAGCGAAATTTGCTGAAGGAATCACCTCTAAATAATCTGGGCCCTATGCGTGGCCGCTTGTGGTCTAACTCCTCGTAACCAATATGTCATGGATATACTTCGCACCTACAAGGCTGTTATTATAAACAGAAAGGAAATTTGTTCGGCTCCCGGCCGCTCCGAATCATGCAGACTTGAAGAACTTTGCACAAAAGCTATGATGGTGGCTTTCTGCTGTTACCTAGCTAATCTACTTTTCATCTTTACCGGTAGATAGTCAAGAAGGCCCGGCTTTTGCAAGGAGGGTGCGCCTTCCGCCCTCCTGCACGATCATGGGCTTCGAATACTAGCAGCTGACATCTGTAATGAGTCTGGCAGGCTGCTCGGTCGGCTCCCGTGGCGCTTGGCTCTGCCCCTCTCACATTTGGCCCACGATTCCACCCGGGTCGTTCGCACATGATTCGTGATATATGCCTGTTACTGATTGGGCAGTTTTTTCTGCACATCAAGTGTCGTGGGGAAGTTGGTAGAGAAGGCTGCCGGCAGTTCGACAGTCGTGGCCTTCTTGAAGTCGGGATGGCAATGCTTCGATTGCATTCAACTAACCCCTAAGACTAGGTACTTTTAGTGGTTACTTATCTCAAGGCGGGGCATGTACGTGTCCGAATCCGTATAGACTACCTACCTACCTAGGTAGGTAGGTAGTTGGTTACATTTTTGGCCTGAGTGGTATGCAACTACACGGTCAAAAGCATGCAATACGAAGCAACCTTTACCACATGTGCATATTCCTATCTAGGCAGCACACTAGGCACTTACTAATATAGTGCTATTAAATAAATAAAAGCCCCACCCGCCTGCTAAATGTGTGTCAGTTACATCTTCCACCTTCTATGCAATTATTCTCCCACCCTAAGTAGCAACCACCGCGCGTTCTCACAACATCGACAAAATCTATAGACTCTAGAGGGGCTGTGATTATGGGTGAGAGTAAGCAGCAATTATTCAAGTCTCTATCGCGTTTCGTGCGGTGCTGATAATACCGTTGCTTAGACTTCAGAGAGCCGGATATTGTGCCACCCTGTATCTTAACGGTGACCCTTCATGAGGCCCCTGGCCTGCCTACACTACATGGTAAACTGCGGTATGCACTCTTGAATTACAATCAATATGAAGTGCCAGTGGAACCCTATCTGGTATCCGCAAGCGAACCTAGGATGGTGCAAAAAGATTACAATGTCTGCAAATTCTACGTGACTCGTTTTGCAGAGTTGACCATTTCCTTCTATGTCCGTGATACAGAAGATGCGCCAGCCGTACTTTTAGGTGCAGCACGAGTGAAACCTTTTGATATTTCAAAAACCGCCAAATCACACTGGCTGCCAGTGGGCCATGATTGTGCTGCCAGAGTTCGTATTAGTTTCGAATATCAGGACACTTCGAAGCAGGCGCCAGCAATAGCGAAGTTTCGGTCATTCGGGAATGATATGATATGGAGCAGCTCAAGATACGTTGGAGTATTCATGCCCAAAGATATAGGGCAAAGATACGCTGATGGGTCGTTCTCAAATGAGCATTTTTTTCGTCTAACCTGATACCATTCTTACCGTCCCAAATCAACCATCCTTTTATCGCCCCAGTTATACATTCTTATGAATCTGAATATGAATTACACCTCCTTTCGCCGTACGTTAGCGGCGGACATCTTTTTCATCACATTCAGCACCAGCGTTGTTTTGATACTGGTATGTCTCGACTATATATCGCAGAGATTTTGTGCGCGCTAGAATATCTACACGATTTTCATAAAATCTTTAGTTGGCTAAAGCCTCAAAATGTTCTTCTAGACTTTTCAGGACATGTTGTTCTGTGCGGCTTTGGTCTCTTTATCCTAGAGACAAAGAATAGGGGTTATACGACACCTAGAGTAGCCGAGTATCCGGCACCGGAACTACTCCTCGGTAAAGAGGCAACTCGACTAGCAGACTACTGGACATTGGGAGTCTTCCTCTACAAAATGCTCGTGGGAGTTCCATTATTTTACGACGAAAATCCTAGTAAGATTATGGAAAAGATCCTCAAACAGCCTCTTGAGTTTCCTGGCAATGTATCCGCAGCAGCCAAGGACCTTATAACTTGCCTTCTTGATCGCAGGCCGGAGCAACGCCTAGGCGCAAACGGCGCGTCTGAAGTTAAGAATCATTCATTTTTCAACGATATTGACTGGCAGGTGGTTCTCCAGCGGAACTACGAACCTGATTTCAAGCCAGAATATACACCTGGCTCTAATCCTCTATGCGGATCCTGTAACTTCACACCAAACCACGTATCTGGATTCTTTGAGCAACATGGTGTGTCTGGAAGCTTTGAGCTACCAGAGCCACCATCAATATTCAAAGAATTGAACAGCTGGGCTATGGCCCAAAGAGGGAGGGACTCCAAGATCCCGGAGACGACTATTCAAGCGGATAATGAATGGGACCTCGTGTGGAGAGAGGCACAGCCGCAAAGCTTCCATTTCTACAATCGTGTCACAGGGGAAACAAGACCAGTTCCTTCTCGTGCTGTCGATCCTTACACTACCCAGGACGCTGCAACTTATAGCAGTGTTAGCTCGGATACCACACCTAGTTTAACGCACAAGTTGGACGCGCTTGAGGCTGCGTTGCAAGCCGGATACGACCATGCTGTCTCGGAGCTACTAGAATATGACATAGACTTAAATGTCGAGATTTTTGGGCGGGACCGGAAGAGCCCACTCCATTGGGCAGTCAAGCATAAAAACCTCCATCTAGTTTGCCTGTTCCTGGAGCATGGCGCGAGCGCTGATTTTGGTGGTCCTGCGTTAATCCAGGCTGTGAAAGTCGGGCACCTTGCTATTGCGGAAGCTCTTGTTTTAAAAACGAATCGGGTGGCCTGTACTCAATCTTTAGGTCTCGCCGTCGACCAACGAGATACAAACATGGTCAGACCTCTCTTAGGCTACGGTGTTCACTGCGACTTTGGAAAGGATGATCGCCCATACCCTCAGCCATCGTGGGATCTTAGTTTTGAGGGCTATGATGTTTCTCGACCAGAAGAGTTTAAACCCCCTCTTATCCGGGCAATCCAGAAGCATGAAATTGATGTAGTTCGGTTATTACTCTCGCATGGGGCAGACCCTAATATTGCCCTTCATGATACTTCCAAGTGTGGTAGAGCTGTCGAACTAGCTATGGAGGCTGAACAACTAGAAATAGTACAGCTATTACTTGACAGCGGCGCAGATATTAGTTTGCCAAGTGATGTTTGGGAGAAGTCGGGGCATAGATGTCACATTTTGAAGAGACCAGTCTATCAAAAAGTCACAGCTAGGTTGCGAGCGGCAATGGTCGCACAAAAAAGGCGGCAAATCCCTAGCTTTCTTTGATGTACTAAACGTACCAATTTCAGCTCCTATTATAGTTGCATGGCAAAAATATATGTACACTCCTATCGTGAGAGGAATTAAATAGCACCAAGCTGTAGTGAGCACGATGGCCGTGTGATGAGGGCTCAAGGAGGGCTTGGAGTCAATATCTCAATTCATATAATAACAGTTTTTAGTATTAAAGGTCCTTGGTTTTTAAGTCCTGAAGGAACCGAAGATCTCTATAAATACAAGAAGTCGGTGAGGGCGGCGGCCAGCGTTAAGGAATCGCTATCGCTCGATCTATCGTTAAGAGGGCAAAAATTCTCGTCCTCGAAGAAGCAACTAGTGCTATAGATGCACGAAGCGAACGGGTTGTTGAGGAAGCTCTGATAGGGTTGCTCAGAAAAGAACGACGATTATAATTGCGCACCACCTCTCAACGATAAAAGCCGCCCACTATATCGTCATTTGGAAGGTTAGCCAAGTCGTTGAGTCAGGCACTCATGAGAATCCTATTCTAATAAAGGGAAGAATGTACTCTAGACTCGTTCATGCTCAAGTACTTTCACTCGGCGACTCGGCGGATACTGTTAAACATGGCCATGAACGGACGAAAGTGGCACAATGACTCGTTAAAAGGGCAAGGTAAGACCTGAAAGCCGTGAGCCGCTCTCATATAATATTCGAGACGTGAAAGAAATAGGTCGAAGTTTCGTTGCGAGCTTTGGGCAATTCTTCATCCAGTCTAAGTGCTATTGGTATGTACATGACAATATTGTCGATTATTTTCACAGGTGCGGCTGGGGCCGCCTAGTATTTACACGTATGGCTCTTTTCTAGGTCCACAAGTCTCTTCAAGTGTAAGGTTGACCCCTCCACGCTCATAGATGAGATGGAGTTTATGGCGGGGATGTGGGCAGTTTTTGCAGATGTTGCAGGCATTGCTTACTTTTTGACCTCCGTTTCGTCTTCACTTGTAGGATCCTTTGTTCGTGCTAAGTACTTCCTAGTATCTCGTATCAAGGACGACCCAATGAAGCTTGAAGAACTAATAGGTGGTAATATGGCCATAGTTTGTGTTTCGATTTTTAATATTATCGGCGGCACTATTATGGCTATTATTTATGCGTGGAAGTTGGCACTAGTTTTAATTGGCCTTGTTATGTTAATATGCCTCTTTTCTGGGTACTTCGTTTTAGATACGGGGCAAAATTCGAAAATATGAATGATTAGGTTCTCGCAGAGAGTTATTAATGTGCTTTGCAAGCTATGAACGCTTTTCGAACTATTACTTTACTAACACTAGAGAATTCTAAAGCTACGCGATTCGAGACGATGTGTGACGACGATTTTACATTTACGTAAAAAAAGGTGGGTTGGGCTAGCATCGTGCTTGGATTTTCGGATAGTGCTGCGTTTGGTTGCCAAGCTCTAATATTCTACTACGACGGCAAGCTACTTTCTTGAGGAGGAATTGGCGTAATGGCGTTCTTTGTGTCCTTCATGGCCGTCGTGACTCATAAGTGTTTCCGAGGGACTTGGGCAAAGCTTGAGTTTTAGGCCCAACGCTGCCCAAGCTACTACCGCATCAAACCGTATGGTATTTTCAATGAAACGGAGTCCCGAATGGAACATCAATGCGGAAATGAACCTAGTCTCCAAGATGGAGTGTCTGGGGCCAAGCTTAAATTTTTCAACCTGGGATATCCCATTCGGAAGACACCATTTTAAGGAATCTCAGCTTGACAATTAAAGTAGGACGGTTCGCGGCTCTTGCCGGTCCGTCTGTCTGTGAGAAGTCTAGCATGATATCTTTACTCGAGAGGCTTCACGAACCCGAGCAGGGCTAGATTTTTTAGAACGGTAAGGAGATATCTGAACGTTAATATACGTGCCTGCCACAGGAAACTGGCTCTAGTGGCCCAAGATGCCGATATACTCCAAGGCAAGCACTTTACTATTGACTGTTGCATCCCAGCGCATACTGACTAGCACAGGCACTATCCGAGATAATATTCTGCTCGGTCTCGATCCGACCACCGTTACTGATGAGCATCTTACGTTACATGCCGTAATGCTTCGATTAATAATCTTGTAATTGCTGTAGCCGATAGCTATAATACCAAAATCGGCTCTCCTGGTCTCTCTGTCCGGCGGACAAAAACGACTCGGCCTGCCAGAGCAATAATCCGTAGCCGGCAGGTCCTACGGCAGGTCATACTCCTTGACGAAGCAACCAGCTCGCTCGTCTCAGAAAGCGAGAAACTGGTGCAGGCCGCCTTGGAGAAAGCAGACAAGGGCAGGACTATGGTTGTTATTGTGCATCCGCTGGCTACAGTGCAAAATTCGGATTTCATCTTCCTAATTGGGGAAGGTGGATGCCTTGTGGAACGGGGAAGTCATAAAGAGTTGCTCGATAATAAGGGTGTTTATCATCGAATAGTAGGCTCCTGCCTTCGTAGGCACCTACTGTTGATTCGCCTTGGGAGCCATCTAACACGACTTCAGTGTGTACCTAAGCCTTGGATAGGTAACAAAGGAAGGTACCGGAAGAGTCAGCTGCGTTAGCTGTTCATTTAAAGAAGGAAAAGTAGAGGCCGCAGAAAGAGGCTTACAGTAGTATTTCTATTGAAGCTGCTAGAAGCTTTCCGTACAAACTCGATGGACTCATGTACCCGGCCAATCTTGTGACATACGATGCAGCGTATGAACTAGGTCGTAGCAGCTATCTAACACAGAAACTTCCCAGTTCTAAGCTAGAATGCAATTGTAGGTACAGTTTTATAACTCGGCCATCTTGGCGCCAAAATATTTACTTCCGTCGTCGCTGGGGTGTTGTTGTCTCAGCATGGCCTGCTGCATTATCCCTTTAATTTCTGCCCTGTCCAGCTCTTGTGTGAGTCCATCAATTGCCGCTATCACCCGAGATTGGATATAACTAGCTTCAGTCTCACTATATAAAAGGTTGTCATACTCCATTCTTAGCATCGCAGTCTCGTTGGTGAGGGCTAGGAACTCAAACATGATTTTGAATTTGGCTCCTTCGCACCATGTGTACAATGGCTGAGCCCCGTCGATGGAAAGTGTTTCGCGCCCTCGGTTATCATGAAACGTCACCATTGCTTCGATAAAAGGAACATTTGGATGATCTGGCGTGACAGCATGCTCTTTGAGGAGCTCGTTCCAGGGGATAGTGTGAGAAAGGGCCTGCTGGCTTGCCGCAGCCACTTTCTTGCAAAACGTCAGAGCCCAAGGGTCCTCTCGACCATGGCTTCCATGGATTGAGTCTGCTTCACTTGACCAAGGATCTTGGACACGTATGACCAACGGCTCCAGGAAGAGGCCGACGGTGTCGAAGTCTTCCACGCCACGATTCAAGTACGGCGATCCCAGCATGGCAGACCTGCCATCAGGATTGCCATGCCGGATTGCAAGTGCAACTGCCGCCAAAGAAAGCTGGTGTAGTGTAATGCCGTGTTTCGCCGAAAGATGAACCATGGCCCGGAAAGTATCTGGCAGTAACTTGCAGACCCGGGACTTTCCACGGTAGTCAAGGCGGGTTGGTTCACAGTAAGGGGGCAAATCTGAAAGATGGCCCCAGAAATCAAGGTCATCTTGAGAAACACGGCGGCTCCACTGGCTTGTCTGACCATACTCCCTCGGCACGGTGTCGGGAGTCTTGCCATTCCAATACATCTGAACATCTGAAAGTATGACGTTCAAAGCTGTCAGGTCTAAAACAATGTGCGAGGCCACTAAGACAAGTGTAGTCGGTGAGAGGAATATACGTATGGGAAGCTCCTCATACAGCTTGAATTCTCGGTTCACCTCCTCTTGAATATTAACTTTATCCAGGAGAATAACTCGAGGCGGCATTTTCGAATATACTCGATCGTGATCGTTTGGAAAAAAAGAGCTCAAGATGCCATGGCGTGCTAGCACCTTGTTCCATGCCTGCTCCAACCTCTTGATGTCCACATCCTCGCTCAAAGCACAGACAAAATTCACGTTAAAAGAGGAAGAACCTTTGCCCAGCTTATACTTTTGAAGCCATTCTTGTTCAATGGGAGATAGAGCGCTGTGGCCCAAAGTTGAACCCATATTTGGCGCAGAAACGCCAGTCTGACGGTCAACGCTGGAAGCGGAGAGTAGAGCGAGTTGATCGCCTAGACGGGGGGATTTTATAACATCGAGCAACGGTATCCTCTGACCTCCAATAATAGACAGGCGAGATGCCAGTTTCTGCTGGAGGATAGAATCACCACCCAACTCTATGAAGTTTGAATCACCATTGAGAGAGTACTTGCTATCCAGAGATAGCAAAGACCGCCATAGAGCTTCAATTTGGCCTTCGACGCCAGTCAATTGCCCAGTAGGCCTTGGCCCACGGACTAGTTGACCGTGTGCGGAGTTTGAAGAAGGGGACCGAAACCTTCTGACCTGGTCGCCAAAAGTTATGTTTTGCATGACATCGGCCAGGGTGACGCGGGTGTTGAGAGCCGAGGACAGACGACTGGATAGGGCGATTTGTTCGAGAGAGTGGCCACCAAGTTCCAAAAAGCTTGAATCCTCATTCAAGGCCTGACTATCGTCCAGATTCAGGACGGTGCGCCAAACAGAAGCGATTGTATTTTTCGCATCCTCTCTGACGATTGAGGGCGACGCGGAAGGGTCGGAGGGCGGTGCCTCTGCCTCTTCCAAAGAGAATGCTGTTGAAATTGCCTTGTAGTCCAGCTTTCCCGCATTGCCCAGCGGGAACTTTTCAACGGCTTTGATGAGCCTAGGCAGCGCTTGCGGCGGAAGCACCTTTTTGATCGCCTCCTCAAACAAGGCGACATCCGTAGTTTCAGGCTGTATCATTGCCACGAGCATATCCTCCTTGCGGGCAAGGGCTACCGAAGTGGCACTAGAGCATTTGACCATTCTGATTTCGAGATCGTCCAGATCAAGACGGAAGCCTCGCAGCTTGATCTGTCTATCGGACCGCCCGAGCAGACAAATCTCCCCCGATTGACTCCAGTAACCACGGTCCTGAGTCCGGTACATTGTCTGATTCGTCTCGGGGCAAATTGTGTCCTTCAAAAAGTTCCTCGCGGTCTCCTTTGGCCGTTTAATATATCCCGGCGAGACTTGCACCCCTGCGGTGTAGAGTTCGCCGATAGCTCCAGGAGGGAGCGGGAATTGATGCTGGTCCAAGATGTAGATTCGCGTTGATTGCACAGGCCGTCCAATGGTGACCTTGTCGCCGCACACCAAGCTTTTACAAGTCGAACCACAACTGGACTCTGTTGGGCCGTAGAGATTGAAGGCGGGCATCACGGCAGACCACGCATCGCACACGGCCTGTGGAAGATGCTCCCCAACCATGTAAATCTGTTTTCCAGTATCAGCATTCGGGCTAAACTACATTCGTCAGGTTCGTTTTGACGTACGGCTTCGAGATTTTGATAGTCGCGAGGGTTCAATAGTTTCGCGACTGACGGGGTTATCATGGCAACATCGGCTTTCTGCAAATTGCTCAATACGTCGGCTGTCTCGCTCAGTAGAATGGTTCCACCGTACGACAAGCACGAAAATATTTCATGTATGCTCCCATCGAAAGCCGGGGACATGATTTGGGCTACTTTGAGATGTGGCCGCATGCGAAGGCGAGCGTCGTAGTCTTTCTGAAACGCCACAATCCCCTCATGAGTGCATGCAACTCCTTTGGGTAGGCCGGATGAGCCCGAGGTAAAGCAAAGGTATGCTGTATCCTTCTTCGATGCCCCGGGTCTTTGCAGGAGCGCCGAAATATCGGAGGGGTTTGTGTCGTCGTGTAGAAGCTCCTCCATGGAATAGCAGAGGGGGGCTGACTGTGGTTTCTTGTCTTTGCACGAGTCCCAGGTGGACAGAAAAAGTCCGCTTCCCGAGGTTTCAAAATAGGTATTCCTCAGCTCTGCAGGTATGGCCGGGTCCAAAGGACAATACACCGCCCGAGCTTTGAGGACTGCATATATGGCAATGATCCAGTTGATGGAGCGATCAGCGTGGACGCATACGACGTCCCCCGGTGATACCGCCTTGCACAATCTGGAAGCGACCTTTGTGGCTGCCTCGTCAAGTTGAGCGTAGGTAATTGAGCTGTCGCCTCTGATGACGGCGGGAGCATCCGGAATGCTTTCAAGGCGAGTGTCAAAGAGGCTAGTCAATGTATCTTCTCCCTCACCCCGACTGTGGGTGGAAGCGCAGTTGCCGTATGACATGATCTCCTTCCACATACTGGGTGGGAGAGGTTGTCTGAAATACTCATCCAGTAGAACCATTTCGGACTCCATCAGAGCACCAATGGCGTGAATGTACATTTGACCGAGCTTTTCAATGTCTGCGTGGTCGTACAAGTTCTTGTCGTAGTTAATCTGGATTCTGTCCTTTGGACCAAGAAACAGATTAACGGGGATGCTCGATTGCAGTCTAGTATAAGACGATACAGTTTGAAACTTTGGATCCGTATTAGTCTCATAGTCATACTGCATGGCCAACACCGATGTCATCGGGCAGCGCTGGTCGGGAACACTCCATTCATACTCCCGAAGCTTGGATAGGCGCTCAGCCGTGTAGTGAAGAAGGTCTCTCAGTGTTTTTCTCCGATCCAGACACAACAGAAGCGGCAGAGTATTCATCATTGGGCCGACGGTATCTCGAATGGCGGGAACCGGGAGCGACCTGTTGGCGAACAAGACGCCAAACAAGACAGCATCGGAGCCGGTGTAAATGGAGAGGGTCAGTGCCCAGGCAGCGTAGTATACAGCGGAGAGCGGGATTTCATTAGCTTCAGCGAATTGCAGGCAGCATTGCGCCGGGGCAGAGAAAGTGACAACGCCTGAAGAAGGCCTGTCGTCACGGTGCTGATCTTGAGGCGGCGGCAGTAGTAAATGGTTGTTAACGGCCGTCATGCCCGTCAAGTACTCTCTCCAGAAGCGCGTCGCCTGTTGCTGAAATAGCGCCTGGTACATTTGCCAGCCGCGGGCCAAATCGTCGAAAGAATAGCCTTGGCTAATCTGGCCCCCATTTATCACCGTGTTCACTTTTCGCAGGAGCAAGTGCGCCGAGTATCCATCAACGAGAGCATGATGGACGTGCCAGACAAGAACGCTCTTCTTCCCCATGAGGGTCACGACCTTGAATTCTGTCGCCGGATCCAGCATCGGGGGTGCGCTAATGGATTCAAGCTCTTGCTCAAACTGGCGCTCGTCGCGGTGCATGCTCTCTGACCATGAGAAAAAGGCGATTCCGTCGTCCCAAAACGTTTCGTCGTCGAAGACGGCGCGAAAAATAGGCTCTGATCGAATGACTTGTTGCCATGCCTGTTTCAAAGTTGCAACTTGAGCCGGCGAGTACGTATACTCTTGAAAATAGCTAATAACATTGTTGCCTGGTCTTGCCCTCGTGTCCAGCACGAGAGAAGACTGGAGCGACATCATCTTGCAAACACCAGCGTCGGCACGTCTGCTGCTTCTCTGATGCATTTGCACGCCTTGGGAGTCATGCGTCTTAACTATACCAGGGTTTCCATGCGCACTATGTATGCCGTTGGTGCCATTCATGGTAGCTGAAGCCAAATTGTCAGGGACGGCGCCACCAAGACTAGGCAATGCAGATGCGTCTCTGTCGCACACTCTGTGGACGTTCTGGGTATTTTCCTCTGGGGCGAAATCTTGCTCATGGCCGGGAAGCCACTTTGCACTTTGGAGTAGTTCAGAGATAGTTTGACTATTGAGGATGGAAGAGACGTTGATGGATACACCCTGCCCTTTGCAGGCGGCGGAGACACGCAGCGCTGTGATGGAATCACCGCCAGCTTGATGGAAGGTTGAGTTCGGTGTGATGTCTTGCTTGGATAACTTTAGGCCTTTGGCAAGCTCGGATAAGATTATGTTATCCATGGTGGCACGACAATGTTGATCCATATCGTGGACCAGGGTGGTGCGGCTGGAATGAGAGGACAACGCTATCATGTGTCTTCGATCTCACTGAGTGCCTACTATATATTCCGCGAGAGTAGATAAATATATACACAGCACGGAGTACTATAACTCCCGGAAGCAATTGGGTCACAACGCGGCACCTTCTTGAATTCCCGCTGCGGGCCGTGATAATCTATCTTGCTTGGCTCGGCTGCGCCCAGCACCCGAATAGTTCCTCTTCTGAAGCAATACCTCGATAATGAAATATTCAAATCAAAGGAGCCGTGCTTGGCAAGATAACAGCATCCCTAGCCGCCCTTGATATAGAGGTACCAGGTTCCCGTGCCTTCATGCAGGTGCAATATAGTTACCCGCGGTGGATCTGCGGATTCGGTGGGATCCATGTCCCGTTCTCCTCTCGGACGCTCCTGACCAACTGACTCCGACATTAATCGATGCTGTCTGCAAGCCGGCGCGGCCTACCGAGTGGACCGTGGCAGTGTCGGACTTACATATGTAGGCCGCGTGACGCCATGCCGAATAAAGCATCAATTGATAGCGATGCCGAGCGATGCCGATGCTGACGGCCCGCTGGCCTGCTTATTCGGAACTGCCTCATTCAGACGAGTTGGGAGTAAGGAGCATGGCGGTACGGACATGGAGCATGCTTCGGGGCAGCGCGTGATAACTCTTCACCAGCTCGCGGAATGCTTTCTCCAAGACTTTGCTTCTTGCTGAACACCCTCGCAGCTGCCAATACCATCAGGCACTAGTACTGTCCCCAGTATCACCATGACCATGGCCATTGAAGACATCGAGAAAGCGCTCACGGAGCTGAATGGCGTCTTGCGCACTGCCCTGAAGACTCTCGGCAGTGACTGCAGGCACGAGCTGATGCAGAGCCTGCACTCCCCAGATGAACTCCCGGAAAAACACCTCTATGACTTGTCAACAGAGGCCGTTGATCTGCTGCAGGAAGCTAAGCTGCTGCTTGAACCGCGAACCGCCATCCTGGCCGACCACTTTCTAGGTTCGTCAGCTTCCGTCTCCCTAATCCCCCCCCCCCCGACTGTTGCCCAAGACTTACCCATCTCGCAGGCTCGGCCAACTGCAAGTGCTTGAATGCTGCAGTTGAGCTGGACGTGCCCGACATCCTTCAGCAGCAGGGCGCCCTCACCATCGCCCAACTCGCCCAAGCATGTGGCGCCCGCGAAGACAGGCTGAGGCAGGTTATGCGGGTTCTGCAGAGCGCCGGAATTTTTGCCTATGAGCACGATACTGCCCTCTACTCCAATAACGAGTGCTCGACCCTGCTGCTGAAGGATCACTGGACCGGCTGGAGGAACTGGGTTGACCTTTACGGCAACGAGTTCTACGACATGGCGCGTGGGATCCCAGCCTCCTGTCGCCAAGGCGAGAAGCGAATGCCGTCTCAAATCAACTTTAACACCGACTTGGACATGTTCTCCTGGTTTGCGGCACAGGGATCACTGGATCGTGTGCACAGGACACTTGGCGGCGGCGCCATTGCACAAGCTCCCGGCATCCTCGCAGACTATCCCTGGGAGCAAGTTGCCGGCGGACTCATTGTCGACATTGGCGGTGGAGGCGGCGGGCTGATTGCCATGTTGCTCCGAACATTCCCAAACTTGCGCGGTGGCATCTTCGATCGCCCCGAGGTTATCAGCCAGGCAATTGCCAATTTCTGTGACCCAGACGGCCTGTACCGAGACGTGGGAGACAGGGTCAGCAAAGAGAATCTACACGCCGGGGATTTTTTCAAAGAAATCCCCAGCTATGAAGTGTACTGCATGAAATGGTGTCTCCATGACTGGAAGGACGACGACGTTGTCACTATTCTGAAGAACATTCGCAAAGCAATCATCCCCGGCCCGAAATCAAGGCTTGTGCTGCTTGAGATTCTGCTGAAAAAGGGCCGATCCGGCCATCTGTCTCGCATGGCAGACTTGTCAGTTATGATGGCTGCAAATGGTTTGGAGAGAGAAGAATGGGAGTGGGATTCTCTTGCTGCGCAGAGCGGTTGGAAAATCGCCTGTAAGTATGATTTGAGAAACGCTTGGCCCTGTGCCATGGAATTGGTACCGGCTTAGCTTACAGTAGCATTTCCTGGAGCGTCGACTCGAGGACAAGTACTGTAGCCGGCATTTGGTCATCGACCCTTGCCCTCAAGACAAATATATACTAGTTGTCGCTATCGCTATTTTCCTCAGCATGCGCTTTTAAACTTTTAATTTTCCCACCACGCATGAAATGCAAAGTCATGGGCATAATACGTCGAACTACTTTTCATTTTTCTACCTACAAGCTAGACTATAACTAATAGCTCAAGGATTATCTTCTCGTCTCCCCCGTCACCCTTACCCTGGAGAATCTGCCATATTCCGGCTTCACAGACGGGCTCAATTTACTCTTTCGCAAACAATCGTAGAGTTGCTCGAGCTTATCCACGAGCCAACCACTCGTTCCCAATCCCCAATATTCGTGCTATCCCCAGCCGAAAGTCTGAGGCGATAATTCTGCACCATGTGCGTAAGCAGCACTTTAAGCACCAGGTCTGCAACATTTTTGCCGAGGCATTGTCTTGGTCCAAAGCCGTAGCGCCAGAACCTGTAGCGCATCTCGCCGGGGCTTTTGGTTTCTAGAAACCGCTTCGGTCGGTATTTGGTATTGTCTTTGCCCCAGTATGGATCGAGAACGTTGAGCGCGTACGTGTCCACAATGAAGTTTGTGCCGGCGGGTATGACAAAATTATCCACGACACGGTCGGTTGGCGCTGCCTGTGGGATGGAAAAGGGTGCCATGGGCTTGAGGCGCGCAGACTCAAGCAAGCAGGCCATCAATAACGTCGAGCTTCCCGTGATATACTGAGTCCACGAGTCGTCCTCCGTGTCTTGCTTTCTAGCTGCACTTATCTCCAGTCGTAGATCGTCTTGAACATCTTGATGTGCAGCGAGGAAAAGTGGAATCCAGGAGAAATTCCCAATTGTGACGTCTAGATTGGCGAACAATGCCTCGTCAAGAGTGTGAAGTAGCTGAGTCTTGGACACGACCCCCTGGTCAACAGCATCGTACAGTCCGACAATCGGATGGTTGGGATAAATCTTCTTGGCCCTGTCATAAGCTTGGTCGTTGAAGCGAGCCCACTTCTCCTTAAACATCTTGAGTCTTTTGTTGGTCGAAATTGGCAGGAACCGACTGAGAGAGAATCGAGAAACACCACCGCTCATGATCTGGCACCAGAGTGTCTCTCGAAGGGGGATAATTTCTTCAAACTGGAGCTCCATCGATGCCGTGAGATCACCATAGATGACATCACATAGTATCCAAAGAGGCAGCAACTTGAGATGTTTGGAAGGTTGGACTAGCAAGCACTTGTCGCCCTGTTCTTTGGCTTTCTCCAATTTGTTAAAGTGTCTTTCCACTCTTCGCTGAATCAGTGGAATGTAGGATGACGACTGATTGCGATGAAAAGTGTTGACGAAAGGTGCACGAACTCTATCCCACTCTGCCTGATTCAGCAGACCTAGACAATGTCCGAGAACCTCCCCACACAGCCAGCCAGAGTCCATCGATTCGCCTTTGACGTGCAAATGAGAGTCTTTAAAGACAGCTTGTACTTGTTCCGGCCGCATCAAGACACTATACATGTATCAGAACACCATGGACGTTTTGACACTCTGAGTCTCTGTGAACTTACACTTCTGAGTCAAACCCCGTCCAAATTCGATAAATTGACCCTAATTCCTGTTGCCATTTCCGCGACCCTGTTTCGCCTTCCAAGAACTTGGCGACGTTTCCTTGTCCGTTGGGGAACGTGTACGACGCAGTCGGGAGAGAAGTCTTTCCATCAGTTGATTTGATTGGATAACGCCAGCAGAGGTAAAGCTGCAATGAACAATTAATATACATGGATGCCAACTTGTGCTTTGCAGTCCTTACGTTGATTAGATACGATATTGCGCGATTGCCCGCGGTTCCCTCTGTGATTGTATACCAAATGCACACCGGGACAATCGCCAGTACAACTGCAAAGGAATAGACAATGGCTGAAAACCTACTTCCGCCAAAAATGCCGCTCATTGGATTATCTCTCCAGAATGAAGCGTCCATTGTAACTTTGCTCATGACAGCTTCCAATCTTTTTGCTAAGGCTCAATCGTAATCGTCAAAGACAGTGATCGGAACAAGAAGTGCCAGATAATGTAGGCTCAATGGGCTTGTATCTTGACTGTTTGTGATTGCGCGAGCCCCTCTGCATTGACAAAATAATCTAAATCTCCTGTCCTGATCCATTCGAGGCTTCCAAATTGGGACGGCCGAATTCGTTGCTTCCGCATATGCGGCATGTCGTGAAAGTTCATACCCGGCTCTTATCTTAGCCGCCTCCACCCACGCCTGCGACGAGGAGGGGCCGACGGCAGGTCTGGCAACATGGCGTAGAGAAACGCGTTGGTAGTTACATAATAGCAATATCTGGTGCTTGCTATACATGCGTTATTGAACCTACGCGAGTGCTCTGTGGCATGCTGCAATGACACCTCATTCGCAAGCCCGCAACCGCAAAAGGGCATATGGAGTTTTCTCGCTGCATAAAGTCTCATTATCGAACGATACTGAGGTGATAGTGAAATGCCGCAAAAGACCCATAATTGCGTAGTCTCGAACACTTAATCGAGCTTTCCTTCCTAGGAAGGCAACGATTCTCTACTATACATCTTTGCCAAACGCTCACTAGGCTTGGCTACTTGTATACTCTATTGCAACAGCTGTGTTAAGAACAACAAGACGCACATTCCCTCGCGTCACTCTAGACAAACATGTCAAACACGTTGCAGATGGACAGCTCAGCAGGCGTAAAAGACGCGGATCCATTGGTGAGAGCGAGAGCCAAAGGAGAATATCATCTAGAATACCATGACGAGGAAGTTGCTCGTTTAGCCGCGCAGCATGAAGTTTTTTTGGACGCCATGGGCAAGCTTGTGTTTGCCCCAGTCGACCTAGGGCGAAACGGCTTGCGAATTTTGGACAGCGGAACAGCTGATGGTATACCGACACCAACTATGGAAGCCACTACATCTCAATAAGTACTAAATCCCTCTTAGGACGATGGCTCATCGATCTTCGTGCGTACCTACGTTATAAAGACAACGTCTTGATAGGAACGGACTCAGTAGAGAGAATGTTCCCGCCTACTCCGCCCGAAGGTATTTCGTTCCAAGTTCAGCGAGTAGACAGCCCTTGGCCACAGAGCTGGCTGGGTAGCTTCGACTACGTACACCAGCGACTCGTCCTGCCTGGCTGCGAATACTGCCCAGCGGCCACGGCTGTCAAGAACTTGTGCGATCTTGTCAAGCCAGGAGGCTGGGTCGAGATCCTGGAGCAAGACCATAATCCTCCAAACCCGGGTGCTTTTGAAAGGGCTGAGTCAATGATTCGTGAAATTTTCACAGTCAATGGCTTTGGCTATGACTACCCGCTCCGGATCAAAGAATGGCTTGAAGAGGCCGGAATGGAAGACGTGCACCAGGTCGTTATTGACGTCCCGGTAGGGGCGCTGAATCCCAAACCAGAGATGGCTCAGAAAAGCACCTGGCAGATTAGTTCTGCGCTGGCGGGTTTCCTGCCTATGGCTCGCGGTCAGTGCCTAGCCCGAGTTCTCCCTTCTCTCGTAAAACTAACCATAGGATATGTAGCTTTGCCTCTTTCTATGCCCCGGGACCAATTGGAGACTCTGCCCGAGCATACTGCCGAGGAAATGAAGCGCGTTGGTGGCATTCAGAGAATATATATTGTATACGGAAGAAAGCCTTAAATACTATATATCTATCTTATACTACGCCCACGTGCTTGTAGTATTAATATTATATAGTTTAGGGCGTAATTAGGTAATAGTGTTTATTAGACACATGAACCTTGGATATATCATATGAGTTAATAATATCACCAATTCGGCTTGTGTGTCTAACGCATCGCGATGCTTTCATAGTGTCTTGTGTGGTTAATTACGGTTCCCTAGTCAAGGTACGGCTGAAATACAGTGTTACTATATGCCCTCCATCTAGCCCGTTTTTTTTTATTTTTTCTTCTTTTTTTTTTCTTTTTTAAATAAGTTAATAGATAGATTGTAGAGTTAGATTGCTAACCCCTAACAGGCACGGGGTGACAGTGGCGTGACCTACATTAGTTCTCTTATTAGCCGCTTAAAATATTTTGGTCTACCTTAGTTTCCGCAGAATATATAATTTTCTTCTGCTATGGAAGTTTCGAATTTCGTAATAAACTGTATTTTATTTATTGTACCCAATTAACTAGAGATCTGCTGTCTCTCCCAGAACAGAACCGGATCTGTCAACAGAGTTCGTTTATTGAGGTCGTCTTTCAAGGAACGCATCACAACAGATTTCCAGTGCTCTAATATATCATTACCAGATTCGTGCCAGATAACGTTGATGATCCCTAGACTACACCTATTGCCTCCGTTAATACTCCGTATAGGTAAGAAGCTTCCACAATAGATTATGATCGGCAGTCTGAGAAAGGCTGCATCAGGGTTAATGTCGGTTGCGCTGAGCTTGGGCGCTGAGCTGAGCTGAACCCGATTATCTGAGGAGGTGGGCTCTTAGGTTGGCAAATAACTGGTGGGTGTCACGGCATGCAAACTAGACATCTTCAAACTCAGTACCATCTCTATCTCTATCTGTCTTTCCACTGTGGCACAATGCGACGCATGGTTCACCGTTTTCGACGTTCTCGCTCCACCGCCACGGCAAACGGCGCCACTGGTGGTGTAAACCAAGATCGGACAAATAGTGCAACTGATGCTTCGACCATAGATCAGACGGTAAACAGCGTTACTGACCGTTTAAACTGTGATCGGGCAGCGGCCGCCAGTCTAGACGATTCAGGAATTTCCCTACACGATTCAGCATCCAAAGGCCTCCTGCTAACCATCCACAAGCGGCTAGGTGAAGGAGCGGTTATCGATGCCGTAGACAGCAAATGCTCGACTCCATTGTTACTGGCCATCAAACAGGGACAACTTGGAGCCGTGGAGTTGCTACTCAGCTTGGGGGGCCGATGTTGAGGCCTTGGGTAGCCTCTCGACCTTGAGGCCGGTACATGTAGCGGCTATGACGCTGAATCCGACCGTGACGGCAAAGTTGTTAAAGTATGGCCCTGATCTTGAACCCAGAGCCAATTGGCTGACAGCTCTCTTCTTTGCTATATTGGCTGGGGACGACCAAGTATTTCAGCTCTTGTGGGAATCCGGCGCAGACGCAACGGCCAAGACGTTCTGTGAGCCTGGTACCGGAGAGTCAGTCCTCCATATGGCGGCTGCCTCGTGGAGGGATTCCATGCTGCCGCTGCTCATTGAATACGGCGCCGACGTGAATGCGAGCGGCACCAATCCCGCTGGCCAGACAGCGCTTCACATCGCAGCAGAGTATGGCAACGAAGGTGCCCTGCGAGAGCTAATCAGGGCCGGCGCCGATGTGTTTGCCACTTATGCCGATGGCAAGACGGCTCTGCATGCGGCGGCCAAGGGCGGTAACATGAACACAGCTGAGATTCTAATCGACCACGGCATCGACATCTTGGCCCGGGATGGTCATGGGGCAACGCCCATGTGTGTGGCGGCTATACACAATAGGCGCAAGATGGTGCAATTTTACCTCGATAGGTGTGGCGGCTTCATGTCGGAAGAATCCAAGGTCGATGTTGTCATTAGAGCGGTAGGAACAGGTCATGTTGGAATTCTCGAGATGCTCGACAGCGCAGGGTTTCCTATTCTTGGTCGAAATGGCATCGGTGACACGGGACTGTCTGCTGCATCGTATTTTGGGCACAAAGACGCTGTGGTTTTCTTACTGCGGCGAGGCGCTGGTCCACGACAACAGAGCAATCGTGGCACCACGGCACGTTACCTGGCGAATTTGGCTGGCCATGGCGATGTGGCCGAGCTTTTGCAGGACGCGGAACGGCTGCTCGCCGTAGATGCCAATGCTGAATTGTTTCTAGGGTGGAAGAACGCGGATGTCGTCGACGCTTCGTGGGAAGCTAAGTTCTGGGCTGGAGCCATGAGTGTATCCGAGACTAGGAAGGTTCACGCGCCTCGAGAGTTTTCAGGCACATTCATTTGCATTCATTGCAAATACTTCGATTTCCGGAGGGGGATGCCCCCGGACGCAGAGGTCGTGCATTTTCTGAGCATGGCCTCGCTGACTTACTCGGCCTCCCGCGGCTGCAATGGCTGCCAGTTTCTCTGCGACTGTCTAGCAAAGATAACAGATGTCCACGGTCAAGGTATATGGGGCAACCAACCCGCGACAAATCTGACTCTTCACCCCATGGCTCTTGGGAAGCCGCTACTGTTGAGCTCCGGTCGCCTAACCTCCCGACTATCCAGGAGGGTTGAGATATACGTGAAAGAGAGTAAGCGAGCAAACTCGACAAGTTCGACATTCATCTCATTCATCACCTTGCTACTCGTTACTTGCAGCATTAATTTGCCGCGTACCTTTATATAGGAACCCGAACAACATGGCCCACTGTGGGAATTGGTCGGGACACGGTCTTCTCGAACTGGTCCGAAGAACGTGCTGCAATCGCGCGCAAGTATCTCCGGGAATGTATTGTAAGCCACAAGCACTGTCCGTATAGCACTGGATTGTTACCAAAGAGAGTAGTTCGAGTCGGCTCAGCAGGTAAAGACCCTCACCTCTATATCAGCACCGGAGAGCTCGCTGACTACGTCACGTTGAGCCATAGCTGGGGTGGCGTCAGCCCAATCACCACCACAACCAACACCATCTCGCAGAGAATGAAAACCATCGCATATAAAAGTCTGCCAAAGACATTTCAGGACGCGGTGACCATCACCCGAAGCCTCGGTATCCAGTATCTATGGATTGACTCGCCTTGCATTGTGCAGGACAGCCAAGAGGACTGGCAGAGGGAGGCTGCTAACATGAAGCACGTTTACGCAAACTGCTGTGCCATGATTTCTGCAGACGATTCGCCGAACCCCCATGGCGGTTGTTTTAACTCTACTGCTGGCGCCGGCCCGACCAGCTACGCCGTGGATTCCAAAGGACCGTTGTTCAGCAAACTCAGAGCCTACGTCAGACTCATTCACCTGCGCGATCCGTTCCACATGGAGGTCTGCCATAGAATTGGAGACTTTAACGCACCTCCGGAAACCTCCCGGAGTCTTTTAAACTTGCGAGGATGGACGCTACAAGAGAGAGTGCTTGCGCCTCGGGTGCTACACTTTGGCCGATCCGAGTTTGCCTGGGAATGCCCCGAGACGCGAGCCTGCGAGTGCCAACCCACACCTACAAACTTCGACAAAGAGTCAAGGTTCAAGGCATTGCTTACCGATAGTGCCCTGCGAGTAGCGCAGCCTGGCAGGCGCAACTCTATTACGCATGACGAAGTCGACATACTACTATGGACTCACTTTGTGAGTGAGTTTACACAGAGGCAACTCACCTACAGCACCGATACCCTGCATGCTCTGTCCGGGCTAGCAAGTTACATGGCCACAGCGGCTAAGGCAGATTATATCTGTGGTATCTGGAAGCAAAAGCTGTCCGAGTTTCTGAAGTGGAGGGTTGACTACGCTCTTGGTGTGAAGACCGAATTATCTTCTGCGCCTTTTAGGGGTCCACTGTTCAACCATGCAAGGCCTCCGGTTTATCCCAGGCGGCACAAGTCGTACTACGCTCCGTCGTGGTCCTGGGCATCAATTATCGGTCCCATAACCTTCCTGGCGGGGAGATTAGACACAAGTGACAAGGACCAAGTTTCGCATATTCGCAAGAATGGCACCATCGAGCGGGGTACTAGGAGGCAAGTCTCCTTGTTCGAGACACCAGAAATCGAGTACGTCACGGCCTCGTCAAATCCGTTTGGGCCGCCTCGTCACGCATCCCTAACAGTGTCTTACCAAACCGCCCCTGTCGTTTGGGCATCTAAGAAAATGTCTACAATTAGTGAAATGACTCGGTCCAAGAATGGCGGGACTCTTGCTTACACACGATCATCTACCTCGTCCACATCTACGTCTTTAAATGCAGATTTCGAACCTGATATTCCAGACAAAGACTTGAATGTGTCACTCGGGGACTGTCTCTTACTGATGCACGTTATCACGACTCACGATGCGACGGTTGAGAAGAAGGAGACGACAGGATTAGGGGGGACAGTCGTTAGCGGCCAGAAAGGTACAAAGTTACAGGGGCTCGCACTCATCCCAACCTCAGCTAGTAGTGGTGATAGAGCTGTATACCGGCGTGTTGGTATCTTTTAAGCTGAGGGTACTGGGTGGCAAAGAATCGCTGCTAGGCAAAACCTCACTGTTATATAATCGAGAATATAAGTCGCTTTAATAAATTCTTATACTTTATTTGTTATTATATATATCTACAAAAGTAGCTGAAGCTATCGCGAGATAGCCTTAAATATCGTGCCGCGATAAATTCGTAATCTTACTAGAATTTAATATGTTATAATACGTTTATTTTATAGTGTCTTGCGTGGTTACTTACGGTTCCCTAGCCTAGATACGGCCAAAATATAGTGTTACTAGATCCCCTTTATCTAGTCCTTCTTTTTTTAATATTTTTTTTGTATCTAATAGTTGAATCAATAACTCTAGTATAAATGAAGAATAAATATGTGCGTAGTTGAGTGGTGGTAGTTTATGAGAACCGGGCTCCTAGTTTCTAATGTAGTGTCAACTAGCTTGTTAGGCGTAATTAAGCTAGAGAAAAAGAGCTAGCTTGGCTCGGGCTTTGCATTCATCAGGTGCTTGCCCGTGATACGGATCAGGTGCGACGAGCGAAGAAGCCAATTATCGGGACTGAATTGGCTTTGTTCATCGATGAAGATATGCGTCTGATTTCGCATCTTAGGCGCGTTTCCGTTATCATCGTTTCTTTGAGATTGGACGCGTAGTTGTTGTCATGTTCTAGACCCTGAAGCAGAGCAATTTCTTGTGTTGAATACATGTCCTCGAGAGATTTACCTCGCAACTATCATTGGCATTGCGGTCTCATTGGTCGTTGGACGCGTTTTTGGCGGCATAAGCGTCACTATGATTTTTCACGTCAGAATCTCGCCGCCACTCATACTCCTGTTGAGCCGGGGCGAGGTAGTTAGACTTTGACATTCCAGCAAGAAGTATCCATCGTAGCAATGCATCACTTTTTGGGGTATTAAAAGGAGACTCTCAACCGAGGATAGTATGGTAGTTGATAGCGAGAGGCAGTGTATTGGGCCTAAGCATATATCTACATTGCTTTTTACGTCGGCTATACATGACCAAGCGGTACCGTAATTGAAGGCTTAGCGGCTTGAAAGGCGGCTTCAAATAAGTTCCAACTATAAATGTGTTGATGCGTATTGCGAGTAGTATATTTGACAACCAGCCCGCCGGTAGCAATGGGTTCACTCTACATTAGGCCAATTTTAGCTCTCGAAGTAATGTATGCACTGTTAGTTAGAATACACTAGGGTATGCCTCATCGTCATGAAGCCGCCATCTTCTAAAGGATGGTGTCGACTCACTCGTTGTAGGGATGCTATGATTGCCTCTCAAATGGCGTTGAGGGCGCCATGCAATAGGTCGTAAGGGTTTACGACAAAGACAAGACAGGTTGGATGGCCACAATTCGCCGCGAAGCATTGAAAAGCAATATGAGTAGCTAGAATTTGAAAGTATGGGGCAGAATACAGTCATACATGCCCCTTATACTCCGCCCACCCGAGCCCTTCATCGAGCCAGCAACGCCCGTCACATATGCATCTGATATTTGGATCGTGGGTTGTGTAATCTTTGAGATCTTCGCCCATAAGTCGCTGATTGACGGGTTTTCCGCAACGCAGGACGATATTACCGCGGAGCAGGTAGAACTGTAGGGTCTCATGCCTCCCGAGTGGTGGAGGTAGTGGAAGAAGCGACCCGAATGGTACGATGAAGCGGGCAAGCCGACGAACAATGCGTCTAATACCTGGTCATGGGAACCGGCGGTTGGAGTAGTGGGTGTGAAACTCGCGACGGTCTACGAATATGGCAATAATTGGCGAGCAAGAGCGGGATGCACTGTTCAAGCTCCCGGGCCGGATGCTCGAATGGAGGCCAAGTGAGGGACCGGATGTCAAGAAGGTGCCGGAAACAGATGGATGGTGGGATGGGTCTTGCCCGCATACCAGAAAGTTTTGTAAGGGCATTGAACTCCATGGGACTGACTGGGAGAGCTAGATTCAGTTGCCAGCTGGTCCTGCATGTATTCATTAAAACTCGGCCATGTGTCGTCTTGGAATGTGTTGCACTGCAAGTCAGTATGCCTCGTGGCATTATTTATTCGGGCCGTCTCCATTAACCTTGTTTAAAAGTCCTAAATTCGCTGTTTCTTGCAGCATGACTAGCGAGCGCAAATAAACTTTGGTCGCGCATAAGCTCTGAAACTGGTACATCTACGCCAATCTCCTTTGAAAACCAATTTTTAATCTCGAGGGCAGTTAACGAGTCTACTCCAGACGCATAGACTGGTAGCGAGGCATCGATATCGTCGACTGACACGGAAAGCACGCGCGATAGCTTCGCCTTCAAAGACCCTAGCACCACGTTGGTCGCGTGGGAGTCTTCCTGTGCTTCTTTAAGCAAGATGGATGGCGAAATCAATCTTTTGTAAGTCTCCTCGTCCTCGGCCCCCCCTTTCCTGGTAGTTTGTCGCAGTGCGCTGAAAAGAGGCTTATGCGACCACGCAATATCTTCTTTGGCTTCTTGCGACAGCGACGCAAAATAACCGAGACCAGTGACCATTTGTGTCACTTCGGGATAGCCGTCCAAGGAAGGAGAAAGGCAGTACTCGAGACACGCAAGCAAATCGGGCTTCGGCATGCTCCCCATTCCACGACGCTCAAGTTCGTCATCCAAGTTGCGCTCGGCGGCCGCACCGACGCCAGATATTGCGCCGAGATCAAGTGCGATGCCGTGTTCTCCTTGTGCCCGCCGATGTCGTGCTAGCGCATCTTGAAATGTGTTGCCCGCCGCATAGTTGCTCTGTCCTGGAGAGCCCATGATGCCGGCTATAGATGAGAGCATGATGAAGAAGTCCATTCCACGTGGGAGAACAGAATGCAGCGACCATGTGCCCTGCACCTTGGGTCTCGTGGCTTCCATCCAATGACTGTGCGTCATGTTTTCGAAAACCACATCCTTTTATCCACATTAGTAGTGTGAACAGGACCGCTAGATAGTCAATACGTACCGAAAGGACCATGGCCGCCTGGAGGCAGCCTTTGATGGCAGGCATCGTGTCTCTCACGCTGTTGACTGCGGCGCGAACCGAATCCACCGATGTCAGGTCACATTTGGGCGACTCGATTCGCACCCCTTTATCCGCCATATCCGTAACGAGACTCCTGGCTGCTTCGGAGGAACAACCGGATCTTGAAAGTACAATGAAGTTGCGCGCACCACGCTCAGCCATCCAAGGGATTAAGGCGCGCCCGAGACCGCCGAAGCCGCCTGCGACGACGTACGTTGCCTGCTCTTTGAATTTGTGCGGGACTCTTGGAGCTGGCACCACCTACTCATTGTATCTGTTAACACTGGAGCTGTGAGCGTTGTGACTATTCGGGGCAGGTTTACTAACGGCAACTGTAGCGCCTTCATCCATATTGACAACAACCTTGGCACCATTCCGACATGTGCGCACTCTCTCAATCGCGGCCTTTAAATCTGCAATAGAGAAGACTTCTGGTGATGGCAAGCAAATTGTCTCTGCAGGCTCTGTCACAAGTTGGGTTGCGGCAGATAGCATACCTCCTGATTGAGCACGCATTGCATTCTCTAGTATAGAGCGAATGGCTAGCCTTGTGTATGTCACACTCCCATCGCATGCTTGTTCTATACTTTGCTTGACTCTTCCCTCGACGTCGCTTGCCTCAATGAACCTGCCCCCGTCGGTAATATTTAGCCATGAGGAAAAGTGCTCGGCGCTATTCGCGAGGTTCAGAATTATATCGAATTCGGCTAAGATCCTATCTTTATGAGTGTAAACGCGATCTCGTGGAATATTGACAAGGTTTGTCACCATGTCGAGTTGCTCTTGATCATCGACAGTCATATACACTGTTGCATCTAGGCCCACAGCCATTTGAGCGCATGCGAGTCCAGCAGGACTTGTACCACTGTGAATCAAGATTCTATCTGATGCTTGAAGCCTCGACATCTTAATGATGGCATAGTATGCGGTGTAACAGGCGTATGGAAGCCCGGCAGCCTCAATAAATGACAGAGACGGAGACATCCTCGCGACAGTCGACGCCTCTGTCCGAATATATGTGCCCACAGCCCCAGATAAACAATATCCGTACACGCAATCGCCAGTCGCAAACCCAGTTTTCGGACCTGCATCAGTTATAATGCCAGAAAACTCGTTACCGAATCCAGCTCCAGCCTTCTCACCTGTCGCGATGAGATAGTCAGGCATACTAAGACCTAATGCTTTGATTTTGATCAAGATTTCATCCGATGCCAGGGGAGCTTTCGCGTTTGGCATGTCCTTGAAGTATATACTGTCTAGGTTGCCAGGCTCTTGGATCGAAAGAGCTAGAGCGCGTCCATTGTTGGACTTCAAGGTTGCAAGCTCGGGCTCTGGGCAAATGATTTGGTCTTTGAGATGTTGATTGAGCGTGGTTGATGTCATGACGCGTGGTACGTGGAAAAGGCCTTTGCGGTAAGAAATCTCTGGCTCGTGAAGCACATGAGCATCAAATGATCGGTAAAGAGTAGAAAAAATCACAGGACCAAGAGCTTTTGCATCAGACTCCTCGAAGGAAAGCTCAGTGTACCGACAGTCCAATCGCTCAGTCGTTAACGTGCGTCCCAGACCGGTGAACATGCCGAACTCTGGATTCGCGGCTCTGAGACCACAACCATTTGTTACCCAAATCACCCGTACACCTTTTTGAGTGAGAAGGAGCTTCATTAAGTCGAAATCAGACTCGCTCATGTCTTTCAGGAATGAATTTCGGGACTCGAGAAGGAACACATATGTTGCATTTTGAGAAGAGTCTGTCGTGAGCTGCCTCATGGTTTTGACTGAAAAATGCAGGAATTCAACCTTATTTCCAATATGTCTAATTTGTTCTGCGAGTATGATCTGTTCAGACTCCTTGTCATCCACGACGAGAATGACATCTCGGGGAGCGGTATCTGATCGAGGATCTGCGAGTTTGGCCGTTGCGACCAAGACTGATTGAGACTTATGGTCGTTGGTGTCATGGTCTGGGAGGTCAAAGTCAATGCCGAGAAAATCAGCATCAACCAAAGCTTTGTGCCATCCTTCGGTCGAGACACATGGCGTGAGTCTCCGTTCCGGCTCAGCACCCAACCACCAACCAGGTACTAAGCCGAACGTGAGGCCAACACGAGACGTCTCAGTACCAGTTGTCTCATACAAGATCAGTTGCCCACCATCATTTAACAGAGATCTTACATGTCGTAGCGTTCTACGTAAACTCGTAGTAGCGTGGAGCACCAGAGAGGCGATTATGATGTCGTATTTATTCTCCTCGAAACCTTGACTCCCGGGGTCCTTCTCGATGTCTAGCACCTTGAAAACCATTCTTGGCAGTTTGTATGAGAAGCTCTCTTGAGCCTTTTCGAAGAAAGCTGGTGAAATATCGGTAAAACAATACTCGCTAAATCTCAGAACCCCTTTGTTCGCACCCAGACTCGAGAGTGCCTGCAGAACGGGACGTGTAGCTCCGCCTGTGCCAGCTCCAATCTCGAGGATCTTGAGCTCAGGGTTCTTGTGTGCTTTCAGGTCGACAAACGACGAAATGCGGTTGTATGCGAGGTCGTGCACACTACTACTGTAGAATCGGTCCGCGAGTCCGCAATTGAATAAGAAATCAAGGCCGTTCATTTTACCTTGGAGGATAGGCACTATGGCCTTGCTAGTTTCGCTCAACAGCTCGCCTGTCGGATTACGCGCAATGAATTCTTCCACATAAGCAGGACGCGTTTCTGGGTTCGCAAGCCGTGGATGAGCGGCCAGTAGCGATGTGTATTTTTCGTAATTCCAAACGGCTTGCATCCACGCATAGTATCTCTGGAGGAAGTCGGGTAAACTTTTGGCCTTCTCTTGATCAACTGCGTGGAGCGCCTCGCGTACTGCATCTAGCGAGATCAGCTCTTGGAGGTCTACATCAATTTTCGTCGAGGCTGCATGGCCAAATTCTTTGGTCGACGCATCCAAGTACTCAACTATTTGCTCAGTACTGAGTCTGGAAATGTCCGGTTTCCACAGTATGCTGGAGATGTACAGATCCGGTTCGGCTTGGTAAGAATCAAGATTGTAGTCAGACCCTTCCGAGAGACCGTTTACGACGATAATTTCTTCGAGGTCTTCGACATCTATGCCGATGATGGAGGTTTCCAAATCGCGGAAGCACTTTCGGTTAATCTTAGAGGTGAGGCACAATGCGGGCTGTGTGCTCCGTTTAAATTTGCCAGAAATGATAATTGATTTCAGTGTTGTTGGGTATAGACGTGGGATTTTTTTGAGACCACCCATGGCAATCGCCGCTTTGCTGATTTGAAAAATAGTTTCTAAAGAAGTTGGATGCATAAAGTAATCATCTTCACCGGTCCCTGTGACGTGCGCTCCGTTCCGAGAAAGGTCTATACCAACAATCGCTTTGCCTTCTTGAACGTTGAACTTGAAGTTTGATGACGCTTTTTGAAAAGCAGGGCCAGCCAAATACCCCATGGCTCCCATATTCTTGTAGAATACCTTGGGTTCGACACTTTCGGTGCATTCTGTGGCGTATTTATCTAACCATTCCTGCCTTAGTGTTCCAGTGTCTGGGCGGTGATATTGGTTCAAGTGCTTTCCGGACAGAGTTCCTGAGCATAAAACACGAGGCTCATCGGTCTCCCAGGCGTATAGTGTGAAGGTGTACATACAGCGGAGACTGTTATCGACCGGCGCCATTTGTTTGAGCGCGGTTTGGACTTCAATCTCTTTCCTGTTAACGGTGAAAATGAGAGGGGAACCAAATGAGACATTACGCAACTCGTATTCCGAGAAACTTGTATCGTAGTTATAGAGCTGTCTTAGAGCCTCAATAGGAAGCGTGAGTAGAGCGGCAGGGTTAAGTATAACGCTGTCATCTAGGGCAGGCTCCTGTAGCCAAGGAATGTCTGAAACTGCCATGATGTTTCTCCATCGCGGTTCCAATGGATTCCAATCTACAGCGCGGCATCCAAGCAGCTCGTGCCGAGGATATTTCCGGAACCTGTGGTTAACGCTAATCCTACTTTCATGCCAGTACGATTGAGAATGATTGAACGGGTAGTTGGGCAGGGTGGTCAATGGCGCTACCACACTATTATCTAGTAGGGGGTTGTTCACACTGTTGATGTTGACAGGGATGTTGCGACAGGCAAGTCTACCTATAGTAGTTAAACAGTTCGTTTGCGCCGGATTATTTCTGAAAAGTAACGATTCATACTCGAAGTTTTTATCTTGGTTCAGAGAAACTAGGATGTCTCTAATGGATCGCTGCAGGACGGCATGCGGCGCCACTTCGAGCATCTGCCCGTAGCCTCCTTCAGCCTGGGCTGCAGAAGAGATGAGCTTTTTCATCGCAGGGTAGAAGTTGACGCGACCAAGTAGGTTATCCACCCAGTATTGAGGGTCTCGGAGCGCTTCAAGCGACATATTGTCCTTAGTGACAGAGGAAAACATCATTATACGATTTCCTTTTTCCATTTCTTTAGAAAATGGCTGCCTGGGTTGTTTTGGTTCCAGACTGCCCATGTGACGCAAATATTCGTCAGCGACGAGATTCATGTGTATCGAGTGATACGGGACTGTAATTGCAAGCGGCCGGCAAAAGATATTCTTCTTAGCAAGCTGGTCGCCCAAGGCAACGAGGGCTGTTCTCTGGCCTGATAGAGTCACGTTAAGATTGCTGTTTACGCAGGCAACTTGAACACACTGCCGACCGTACTTGGTCTCCAAGTCAGCAATGTACGGCGCGATCTCTTCCTCTGATAATCCCACTGAAGCCATTGATCCATCAACATTGCCGGATTTTTCCATTTTGTCTGCGACAACACCCCGAAAATACGCCACCTGGATTGCAGACTTGTGAGATAAAGCCCCAATAGCGTATGCAGCGGAAATCTCGCCAGAAGAGTGGCCTATTACAGCATTTGCACAGAGGCCCCACGATTCGACCAGGTCAAACAAGGCGATTTGCAGTGCGGTGGAGAGGGGTTGTGAGAACTTGGGAATGAAGACCCGAGTGTTTTCATTTTCCCTATGTAGCTCATCTACCGAATTTTGTTAGTGATTGTTTCTGCGTAGCTGGGGACGAAATGCAAATGTACCGAGCAACGACCAATCACTTCCTAGATCCCGCATCAATCGGTCTGATTTCTCGATACTCTCGCGGTAGACTTTGTAGACTGGAATGAGGTCAATGCCCATCTTGGCATAATTGGCTCCTTGGCCAGAAAATACAAATGTTAGGTGAGATGCAAGCGGTGATCTGGTGGGCTTCGAAACTCTTGTTGCCAGGTTTTCCTGGAGATCAGAAATAGAGTTGGATAAGAAAAAGGACTTCCAAGGAAGTTTACTTCTTCTGTCGCTGAGGGTATAAGCAAGACTAGCAAGATACCGTCCGGCCTTCTTCTTTGTCATTGGGCCTTGGCATCGAAAGTGATCCTCGAGCCGAGTCGTCAGACGGTCTATACCGTTCTCATCAGCTGCTGAGAGCATGAAAATTCTAGTAACACTTTTTTCGGAGGACAGGTTTGCATCAATCAAACCGTCAACTCCATTGGCATGATGAATACTACGGCTGTTAGTGTAGCCGTTGGTGTGGCCATTGAGATTGCCGTTGGAATGGAAGTTGGCATGACAAAAAGTGTTAAGATTGTCAGCCGTCGTAAGGTGGTGGGCGACAATTCCTCTCTTCGAACAATAGTTGAGAGCGTCCTGGGAGCATCAGTATTGGCTCAGCAGCCATAAAAACAACACTAACATCCAATATAGCATGCGCATTGCTACCGCCATACCCAAAACTATTCAAGCTAATACGGCGTAAACCGCTACGCGGCCAAGGAATCGTTGTCGGTGTAAGCTGCCCAGACCAGTGTTAATGCTATTGAATTTGAAACAAAAAAAGAGAGGATGTCTCACCCGTAAGCCCCATTCTTGAAACGGAATTTGCGGGTTTGGCTTTCCTGTTCCTGAACATGCATCACCTGGAATGAGACCGGTTTCTAACATGAAGATGGACTTGAAAACCCCTCCTAGACCTGCGGCAGCTTCCAAATGTCCGATATTAGCTTTTACAGAGCCAATATATAGTGGCTTCTCCGACGATGTGTTGAAAGCTCGGTGGATAGCCGTTGCTTCAATCATGTCCCCGACCTGGGTACCGGTGCCATGGGCTTCAAAGTATGTGGTAGAGCCGAGATCAAGCCCGGCGGCCTTATAAGCCGCCATTACATTTGAGACTTGCGCTTCGGCACTTGGCATCGTCAATCCTGGGGTACGGCCGTCCTGGTTTATGGCCGTTGAACGAACTATGGCACGAACAACAAGGCCCTCCCGAACAGCGTCTGACAGTCGCTTGAGCACGATGAAACCTTGGCCGTCAGCTCGGCCAAACCCATTAGCTCGACTGTCGAAGCTCCAGCAGCGACCATCTGGAGAGAGAAACCCCATGTTGGATAAGGGAATCATTCCCGCATCGGGCACAATAGATAGATTGCTGCCCCCGACGAGAGCGCCGTCAGCCTCGCCTGCTCGAAGAGCCGCGCAGGCTTGGTGCAACGCAATGATACTGCTCGAGCATCCCGTATCTAGAGTGAAGCTAGGCCCTCGTAGATCAAAATACCAACTGACTCGGTTTGCAAGCATTGCAGTGCCAATACCAGTCATGGTATATTTAGCGTGGTGGTCAGGGTCCTTCAATAAAAGTGACTCGTAGTCTTTTCCGCTCGCACCGACATAGCATGCCATGTCGGAGCCAGCCACCGACTCCATTGGGAGTCCGGCATTTTCGAGAGCATGATAGGCCGTCTCGAGAAGGATACGTTGTGCCGGGTCCATTGTTGTGGCCTCTAGAGGAGGTGTGTTGAAGAATCCAGCATCAAAGGCTCCCAGGTCGCGCTTCAGAAAGTTGCCGTACCGAGTACTTGTAGCACTTAGCCTGTCTGACTTTGGGTGATAAAATGCATCGATATAGAAGCGGTCTGGTGGAACTTCGGAAACTGTTGACTCTCCGGCAAGTATAAGATCCCAGAGGCTCTGCACAGTTGTTGCTTTGCCAGGGAGTTGTGCCGCAAGACCGACTATAGCAATGGGGTCTAGGTCCGGCGTGGATTCTGAAGACATGACTGGCTATGAGGCAAGTGAACTTGGATTATTGAGATCAAGCTGTTGAAAGTGAACTGAAGACGAGGTGTCAAACTAAAGTACTGTCGGTAACTGAAGACGTATCTGTGACAAGGGCTTGATGTCAAGGGCTTGGAGCGGAATGACTCTATTAGATAATAACCTTGTAGGGTGTTAAAGGTCCATAATTTCCAAGGGAAAGAAAGGAGAAAGTGACTATTATATATGCACGAAAAGAACAGCTATGCCCAAGGCTCCCAGCGGGTCATGTGCTCAGTCTGTGTAACCTCTAGGTCCTGCATCGGCGATGCCCCTTTATTGAGCGGTGTGATTGTTGAGCTTTGACCGTGTAGTAATGTCCGAGGAGCGAAACGGCGCATTATAAAGCACTGTGAATATTGGGGCACGGGTCGACGTGCAATGCCTGTCTATATCAAGAGTAAACATTGTGACTACCTAGCATTCTATCATGCGGGGTGTTATGTGACTCTCGTACCATTAATGTCTTTCTACTCTGCCGCGATCCATCATGATAAGCCGGGCTCCAAACATAGCCACCAGATCTTATTGTGTTTTCCTCCTCGTCAACATGCCTTGTCTCACCAGTCTAAGATCATCGGCCGGTGAGAAGGCTCCTGAAGGTTTTCATGGACCTATCTCATCTGTCAAAGTCTGCAGGGTACTCTCCCTGTCGGTAGGGCAGCAGGAAACACTTTGTTCGTGACAGGGACTGAGACTTGGAAAGAGGATCGGGAATTACTCTACAAACCCGGCAGGGTAGGGAACCTTCGCATGCAATAAGCATGCATGTGAGGGGCTCTGCGTCCAAAGTGTCGAAGGGAACTGCACCGATGGGAGCATTTCGCTTCCCGTCGCTTCGGCCATTTTCCGTGGGTGTCCTGGCATAGAGCCTCATTACTCGCAGTGCTGAATGTGATCTATATACCTAGAGATAGTCTCAGCCCAGCATCCCTGATCCCATCTTCGGGCCTTGGCTCGATAGTCGACCATAGCTGGCGGCTTGAACAGCAGTACCTCAAGTATAAGCCATTTCAATAGTGCATTTTAAGCCTGTCAAGTCCATCAATCTGCTCCGGTTAGCCAAGCAAAATGTACTCTTACAATTTCTAGCTTTCTTTGATAAGTCTCTCGTTTTTTTTTAACATGCCAAAGACATAGTCGGAGGGTGGGCTCATTCATTCACTCGTTGTGCGTCAATTTATCTGATGATAATGTACAGGTTTAAGCGAGAGACGTGTGCTTTTTTTTCTTGTTGGTTTTTCGTACACTTGTTCTCAACAGTTCGATCTAGCTGCAATTCGAGTTCCTTTGATCAACCCTCAGCGGTATCGTAAACAGAGTGAGCCCGAATGTATGACCTCTCGTCTTATGTGCAGTTATCCTCTCGCCGATTACCCAATACCTGGCCTGGTTACTACCATTTGTACCGACTCCAATTTTATTGGTTTCACTTGCCATGGATTATAACATTGATGATTCCTCCATTCATGCTAGTCAAGTAATATGCCAGACTCGTCAGTATCTCGCGTCACATGGCTTGCAAATCCTGCCGGGACCGCAAGCTACGGTGTGAGGGCGAGCAACCATCGTGCCAGAAATACCGGCAAACTGGTGAAGTTTGCGTCTCCCTTTCCACGTAGCGGCCAACTACCAAGGCTTTTGGCCTTAACCTTGGAAACGCTGCAGAAACGATTAGACAAGTCGTCTGTTTCGTCGCACCATGATTGCGGATGGAAAATATCGCTAAGTGGCGGCTTTCGATGCGTATCTAGAAGAAGCTGAGGCACGCATCTTAAGAATGGGACGCGAGTCGGACAAGCCCAGTGTCCAATACAGTCCCAACAGATCCATAACTAGTGACATTTCATCATCAGGGTCGTGCAACCTGCGCGAGTTTTCCTTCATGCCACCCGGAAAGGGACATGGTTCGTCTAGTCACTCGGGCTATTCCAGGATGCTCGAAAACAACAATGCCCACCATTCTCGCCCAGAAGTCTCAGCAGCGCCAATCCGGAATCCCTTGTCTCTTGGCTCACCGGAAGAGAACCAGGCCCCGGTCAAACCCGCGAGAAGAGGACGCAGACAGTTATGACAACCTAACAGACGACCTCACTGCCAACCTGCTCCAGGCGGATCTCCAGGAGAGCCGTCCCGCTTCTTCCAGACACATGACAGCGCTTGTACTAGCCCTCTGTCCAAGGATCAGGCATATATTGACAAAGACGGTTCAACAGGGTCGCAAGGGGGCACTTGATGGCACGAGTGTGCATGAGACCAGCACACAAGACACCTGCGAGGGGCATTGGTGAGAAGGGCGGACGCATAATTTAGATAAAATGACACATAGGCAAAGCCTGTTATTGCGTTGTAATCATTACATGCCTAGGTACCTAAAGTCGCATAGACACTTCCCTTCACCTAGAGGTAGTCCGAGGCACTGATGTGCATGCCGAGTAGTCAACCCAACCTATCCAACATTGAACGACGGCCCGGGTCGGGCGCGCAATCCAGCCATGCTGCCGTCCTGACCAAGCTGCTGTCCAAATGGATGACTACTGCATGAGCGTTGCATCAGATCTACATTCATTCTTAGCCACTTTGGGAGATCTGGCTCATGGAGAGGCATTGAATGTGGGTATTGCGGCTTTGGCTCTTTTCTTGGAGCAAAGGTCAGCACTTGAGCAGACGATTCAACTGCACATGCCGTTTGCGCTGACTCCTGACACCGGCCTGGAGCAACCAGACATTACCAGAATTATTTAGAGTCTACTATGGACTAGATGGCCCAGGCCTACATATGTAGCGTGCGCCACAACTTACGTCACAAGTCGCCGGCCGTCTCGGCCCGTCCAGACCGATTCCATCATGCCTCGTTGGCGAGCCGCAGTAGCATTCGATGTTGTTGTTGGTCCAACACTCCATCAATTCATGTCCGCAAACGGGGATAAGAATTTTCACCCCCGCCTTGTAATGCATCAATGATATCATCTTACCGGGCCCCTACGAACTTGACCTATTGCCCCAAGCTTACCCACCACGTTCAAGTTACTTCTCGCTGTACATGGCCTTCTTGGAGCCGCCTTGATGACGGGCCGTCCTGCCATACACGGGATCCTGACCGACTTACAGCAGACGCTAGAGCACCATGACCACATCTTGCCGGGGACCAAGTCGGCGCTCCCCGCCTCTTTCATGGGAACGCGTCCGCTCGACCTCTTGCCACGTTCTCTATCACTCCATTCTGGGGTTCCGTCGACGGCTCAAGCCCCGGAAAATCTGCTGTAGAAGTAGACTTTGTGGGCCAGCTTGCCGCAGCTTTACAGAGGAAACGGCGCCACGTTAGCTGCTACATCGATGTGATTCGAGCTCATCGGCACAGCCTTTATAAGCTTGGTCGGATCTATCTGGGGCCTGAGCTACACTTCCGCTTCACCCCTATGATACCTATCAGACGATTTCACTCGTGCCTCGCGCACAGAGTCGCTGTTGTTTTGACAGTTGCAGCGGTTTTACTGCGGTCGGCCATGCAACCCTCTGTTATGTGTTGTCGGTCATCCTCATGGGATCCCTTCAACTGTTGTGGTATTCTGGTCTCGCAAGCCAGCTATCCTCACACAGGGGCAATAACAGTCTCGTATGTATGCGTGTCATGCGGTGGCTGGACGTAATTCTCGTTGCTATGGGGCTGTTTATGCGCAATGCTGTTGTTTCGCTTTCCGTCTCAACCACACTTTTGTTCAAATACACAGCTTTATTTTTGTAAGCTTTCTACAACGCTTGAGTTGAAATTGGGTTCTGTCACTCCCTAGATTATAAAAACTATCCAATCAACATAGAGCATAAAACAAAACGCGCATTCTATTATAAACGCTACTAGAAACAGGGTCAGAAAGGCTATACGCGTGGTAAGAGAGTTGGAGTTACTGGTTTGAATCGTCGTAACATAGTTGACCCTAGAGCAAATCACCCTCTACTACTCCGGTACCCTGTCCGTAGATTGTATAGCCAGGCAATACCTCAGGCTCAACGCAACTTGTTTCTGGGCTGGGCGCGCTGCGCCACGTCAAGGGTTAGTTCGTGAGCCAAGATTACTATTTGTCTTACCATCATTAAGACAGCCGTTTATCCTAATTGGGAAGGCATCGGACTTGAACAAACCGCACAGAGCAAGCTGTTATGGTTGTTGGCCCGACGTAGTACATTATAAAAGGTAAAATAAAAGAAAATAATGTTAAACACAACCGATCGGCCAACGCACAATGAAAAAGGGAACGCTCCGCAATTGACTGTGCCATTGGGACCTACGTGTGTTAAACCTTAGTGAGCTACGGCCGCATTTTGCAGCTGATATTTAATAGAATATAATATATAATATAATATAATATAAAATACACTTGTATTTACTATATTTATAAGAGCTTTAACTATATCTTACGTTTCTTAGTTTAACTTAAAGCTTAAATTATTAGTTATTACTTTATTATCTCTCTCTTAATACGAGAAAAAGTTTTATAAATTCTCTCCTCTATTTATATATTACTTATATAGTATTCTTATCCCGTTTCTTCCCAGATAAAATCCTGCTTAGTGCCTTGAATAAGCGGTCTTAACGCTATTCCGTAGTCTCCAGCATTAGGTGTTCGCAGCAGAGTGTGAATATGAAATTTAGCTGGTTTCTTATTCGTTAGGAAGACTCCAGAGTGGTGATCAAACTCGGCAATAATAACGGGACTCTGAATGCGAAAGTAGAATGCATCATCTTTCTCAAAGCCCCCTATCCAGCAGAAATATGTCTCGTGGAACCACGACTGGCAGCTTTGCAGACGCAACGTGCGCGCCGTCTGCGGGAGATACAAGGCGTATTGTTCCAAGATGCTAATTACCAGGTCTTGGCACTCTAGCGGCATATCTGCCACCAAAACACCTTCATACGGTACTATGCGATTGTCGCGGTAAGCACCACAAAGATGGAGTTGGTCGTCATGATTCCAGCGACCTTTAGGCATCGCGGGATCCCTTTGCGACTTGTAGATTTGAGCCTTGTTTTGTTGATTAGGCGGTAGCCTCTGCATTAGATTCAGACCCAACGCCTCTTCAGTGTGGAGAATACGTGTGCCTTCATGTGGACCATGATCGATGAGATTTGGTTCCGCCCCCGTGAACCACGGGGAGATGACGGCCTGCGTCTTGTACAAGAATATATTGAGGCAGAGGTGGTGGCCGTAAAAAGAAAACCCCCAGGGCTGGGTCGTCGACGGCCTGCCAAAGAGCACAAAATTGTACGAGAACTCGTTGCAGACCCGTCGCGCCCCAATCAGCTCGCCAAGGTAGCCGTTGATTCTCATGGCTCCAATGGCTTTCTCGTAGCCTTCAGGCGAGAGTGTGTCTTCAAGCACTTTGAGAATGCTATTGCGGACCTCGGCGCTTATCTCGTCAAGCCGTAGACCCTTATTGCTAAGGAGAAACTCTGGGTTGGACCACGAGCGCCACTCGGGCGAGTCGATGTGGTACTCGAGGATGGATCGCTGCTTGTTGTCTAGTTGCGCTAATACAGCGTTTGCAGCACCGACTATCCTCTCAATGGGCATGCCTTCGTCATGAAGAGGGAAAAGTCCTGATCTCACGGTGCCTGTAACCTGACAATATTCTCATGATTAGCCATGCTTCTATTGAAGGTACATTATCGGCCTTAGCAGGATGAGCTTTATGGCTTACCGTCATTTGTGATGCCCTTGAATGGTTCTTCGAACAGACAGCGCCAGTGGAGGTAGAGGGCGTGGAGCCAGGGAGGATTGCCGCCCTCCTTAAAAGCCATGGCATACTCATGAGCATCCTGCTGCTGCATCATCTGGAAGCGTGGTGTATTCAGGTCGGGAAGGTACTGGTGATATGACCCGGCCGCCTTTGGCCGAGCTTGTCGATCCGAAGCCATGCTGAGATGTTGCTGGACACTGAACAATTTGCCCTCCCTCTCTCAAGTCCTCTGGAGTATAGGCAGCCGTCTCTGTCTCTTATATCGGCATGCCACACAACGAGCACGATAATTGATTCCTGGATGACCTGGGCCTGGTAAGTATTAAGCAGCGTTCCACGAATCGAGACTCCACTAGGAAAACTCTCGGAGGCTCTGGGCGGAGGCTCTAGGCCGGGATTGTGAGTTGTGGAGGTGGACGCAATCAGTAACTACGGTCCCGGCAATTCCGGGCATTCAAATGGGGCAAGATTTGCGCGGGACCTCCTCCAGTCCCCGCATCCTGTTCCCTTCACCGATTGGCCGAGATTTCGGGTATGTGTGTATTCCGTACTCCGAGTCACGAGACGATATCAATACTTCCGATACCAAGTCTACTACCCTGTTTGTGTGCTTTTAGAACGTATAGGTCGATTTCTTCTCGATTCTTCTTTTACAGGTATCTTCCGTTATTATTAGTATATTGTTAAACCAAACTACCAAACGTAACCGCTTACTCGCTTACTGACAAGGGCATCACACTCAAAGAATAATGGCTGTCCAAAATTTTACACGTAAGACTGTGCAAAATAACATGACTACGGCCTGCGGAATTTGCAAGCTCAACCGATCTCGCAGGTCTAGTACGCTTTATACCCAAGGCAGCGCCCTCGAAGATCCTCATCGGTGAGCCAGTGAGTCCCACGGTCGATGTTGGCGGAGCGCTGTTCAAGAAAGACGACGTCTATGCCCATGTTTGGTCAGGCAACTCGGTCCTTGCTCCTGGCGTTAAGACTGAGCACAAAGAACTGGTCGACCGTGTGCTATCCCCCTTGGCTCGCGACGAGGTCGGCACTATTCGCTGCATTGGTTTGAATGTTAGTCTGACCAGAGCTGACTTGATTATTCCCACCATCCGCGAGCGCGCGACGTAATTGACTTTCCGAGGCATCTACCAACTCTTACTTTACGCAAACAGTACGTACAACATGCTCGTGAGCTCAACGCAGAGCTGCCAACTGTACCAACAGTTTTCTTGCAAGTTTTTTCTGATCCCACGGTTTTCGGACCTGTCCGGGTAACAAACTTCTCATGGCCTCATGATACAGAAAACCTTCAGATTCGTTAGCCGACCCGTGGCCTGCTCCGACTGTTCTACCCCGCGTAACACAGGCCGACGACACAGGCGACTACGAGTCCGAGCTCGCCATTGTCATTGGCAAGACGTGCAAGAACGTTCCCAAGGAAGAAGCGATGGACTACGTGCTCGGGTATACAGCGGCCAACGACGTCTCGAGCAGGGGCTGTCAGTTTGCGCAGTCGCAGTGGTGCTACTCAAAGGGCTTTGACGGGTCCTGCCCGATTGGTAAGCATGTTTCCTCTGTCATTATTATTCAACCCTTCACCTTGCTGCTCCTAATAGGAATAGTCCCCTCGAGAGTTTTCTTACCAAGATTAACCACTTTTCAAGGCCCGGCGCTTGTCTCAAAGTCTTTAATCCCCGACCCTTCAAAGTTGCATATCCGTGGTCTTAAAAACACAGACGTCATGCAAGACTGCGGCATAGAGTATGAAATTACTTTCCCCCCCTTCTTGATCCAATAAAAAGAATCCAAGAAAGTATACTCCACGGGTAATGGCTAACCTTTCGGCATCGTTCGAAAAGTGACCTCATCTTTAGTGTGCCTGAGCTCGTTAGCTTCCTGTCACAGGGCACCACATTACGTGCCGGCACCGTCATCATCACAGGTACTCCAGCCGGAGTTGGCGAAGGAAAATCCCCCAAGGTCACGCTTAAGAAGGGAGACACTTTCTCGGTGGAAATTCTCCCGCACATCGGTACCTTGATAAATCAATTTGAGAACGAGGCATAAAGAGTCTTGCTGCCGAAATGCCGATCGATAGTATTGTCTGGTTTATGTTGACACATGGAAATCTGTTAAAAGTGGATTCACTTTGCGTGTAATGGGCTACGAAAACAAAAAATTGCAGTTTCAATCGCCTCTCATCAACTTGCATTTGACTCAAGATATCTGGCGGTGAGCTACAGTTCAAAAAGCTGGCTATTCGCATCCACTTCGTTAAAATAAAACGAAAAATCCGGAGTCATGTCGCCGTCAATAAGATTCAGAGGCCCCCAATAATGGTTTAAGAACACCCTAGGCTCATAAACAAGGGGTCCCGGGTTGGCCGTCGGCACTGATGTTGTAAACTTTGACCTCGCACGCTCCATGGCATGTTGGAGCAGCTTGGCTGACTTCAGAGCCACCACGCACTCGTCCATCGTCTCCAGCACCTCTATTGCCTTTCCAACTAAGCTGAGGAGAGATTCCATCTCGCTTTCAGTGGCTTCTTTCATGGAATAAACGAGAATAATAGACGCTGCGAAGCTGACGTAAGTGGTATTATAGAACCTGATTCGGGGTTCTAGGTTAGTCTTTTACACACTGGATTATTGTCACTGGGACCATGCAGCTGGTGTAGTACGCCTACCATGTTCTGAAGAAATCGTGATGTTGGTACATCATGAATATAATCTCGATCGTGCTTTTCGCCGAATCGATACATATCTGGATACCTCGCTGCGTCTCTTGTGACCTCATGATGGAAGCACGCTCTGTTGGAGATGAAGGGAGGAGGAAAGAGCCAAACATGAGGATCCGCAGGTTCAAATACCCTGAATGTCGCGTAAGTCACACCGTCCCTGTACATTAGGCACGAAAGCTTGGTTCATACGCAGAGTCAGGACAAGTCTTTGTCTTTTTATCCATTGTGCAGCTCGTGCAGACTTCAGTGAAACCAGGTCCGCGGCGTTAAGCCTCGGTCGGATCTCCGGGGGGACGCTGTCGGCCCATTTATCGAGGTCAGTCTGCAATCGGAAAGCAAGGTCCACGGTTCGCAAAGTGATGTCTTCTGAAAGATAAATCTCTAGGCCGATGTTCTTGACGATTCTCGAAAGATCAACCATTGACTTGATGATCGCACAATTAGATGGTTCCAACAAATCAACGTTGGTAGTGGTGGAGTCGACACCCTCTTTTCCTTCAATGACCGGAAAGCGACGGTTGTGATACAAATCAGCACCAAGAGTGTCCGGTCGACCCACGGAGAAGGACATTTCTCTGGGCGGGAAGGTGAGCAAAGGTTGAGCACCTCGGGGAGGTACCGTAACTTACACTTCTAAGGAATATAAACCCCTGCAAATCATGATGAGCCTGACATTTGATAAAGACATGGACACAACACCACCTACCACCATGTTCGAGACTCGGCTCTGAGCTGACTAGCGTCTTTGATAAGCTGATTTCTTGGCTCTCTGTTAATGCCCATAGCCAATGCCGTTCTTGCTGCTAGTCCAATGTACATATATGTCACTGCGCAGAGTTGGCAGAACTGTTAACCCTTTGGGGATGAGCAAAAGATCAGTTGGTGAGTATGACTTACAGTGTGGATTCAGCTCATTCTGGCAGACCTTGGCCTTGGTGGTGTGGTAAGTACAAAGAAGTCCGAATGGACAATAATATGACTCACCAGAAAGAAATAACAGTGCACCATGTCAAGATCGGTGACCATGCCGAGTTTGTGGCATCGCCGCACAGCTTCGTCAAAGAATGCTCTACTCCATTGCAGATTAGGTATACCGTCGATAGGATCATCGTCCCTGGGCCCGACAAGGGCGCCAAGGGATAAAATGCTATAATACAATGCCACGAAGCTCGTTTCCGTCGACGAGTGCTGTCCTGATAGTAGTTGATCGCAACGGCCCAAGAATTCAGCCTTGGATAAGATGGGATGCACATAGTGGATGCTAGAGAAAAAACTCAGGATAAAGCTTCGGCACTGCGGATAGTATGGGGACGACCTGCAGTTGGGCGAGTCTTGTCTAGTCCCGCCCAGTGGGCCGAGTTGTTCTGATGCCGGTGAAAAGGCAGGGTTGTGCAGGTTCGACACTATTGAATCGTCATGTTCGGCGTCAGTAGGGGCCGTAGGCGCACCTCCTGCCCGCTGGACGTGTGAAAGAAGGGCAAAAGCCGACGAGCTTCCATAGAACTCGACGTTGCGGGTGTGCCGGTTCACTGCTGATACCTCCTGTCCGGAGCTACGGCCCTGGCGCTGAGTAGATACATGGCTACGTTGTGCCTGATGCTGCTGGTGGTCGTTCTGCGGCTCGAGTCCGGGGCCGTCCCTGGAAGCAGGGCCAGTTGGCTGCGAGCTTGGGACATGGTTGGGGGATACGATTAGTTGATCCTGGGCGAGACTGTCTTTCAGAGCCCCGAGCCGCTTCACCTCGTCCTCGAGGCCTCGTACATAACTACCAAGAGGTCGGTTTAGCCGGAGACGGGGACTTTGTGTGGGAAAATGACTCGAAGCTCACTCAGAAGTATATCGACGCCCAATATCCTGGCCCATGTAGACGCAGTCGAGGTTGTGTTCTGTGAAGTGTTAGACAAGACGTCCCGCCGAATGGCATGCCACATGTTACGAGATGCGATGGGCCAAACAAGGAAGGGGAGATACGAGTACTTACTCCTGCAGTACGTGCATGGATATGCGTCGTCGCACCTGTTCTTCTTGGCCCTGCAGGCATCGCAGGCGCGGGCGGTCCGGGGTCTGCGAACGCGTGTGCCGATATTCTGCGGGGGCGGAGTCGGGACAGAATCCATCTCGGTGGCAAGCTCAAAGGATCATTATCCGGTTGATACGAGAGCCGACATCTCTGAACAATGAATGCTATTTATGCCGGGGGTGGGAGATGATGGGCAGCGCAGTTCATTCGATGTTGCACGGGGAAGTTCCAATATCCAAGCAAGTACATATGTAGCCACACTTGTAGGTCACTCAGTCTGGCAAAGGAGCCACGTCAACTGGTATGTAATACGTCACTGGTACCTACTTAAGTAGCTAGGTAGGCAGCAACCCCGCCAAGTTCCGAATGGACCTTCCAACCGTTGACCCTACTTATGATTCCAGTATGAAACACGTACGTGTACAACTCCACGTCCTTTGACATGCGACCAAAGCGCAAGACCTGCAGGCGATTCTCGGTGATCCTCCCTTGGATTCGCCGCATCTCCTCGCTCGAGGCTTCAAAGTCAAGGCTCACGCGGCAGTGACATGGTGTCAAGAACCTAATCCATGTACACCGAGTTACGTACGATTTTCACCGGACCGTAGTTGCTTCCCTATTTCCCAGCGATGCAAACTGCTCCAACCAAGTTCAATGTCCTTTGTTTCCAGCGACAACCTTCAGAATACCCTTCCCTTACGAGTCCAAGATTTTAGGTATCTCCTCAAGCAGGTGCTCCACGATGGCGTCCGGACCCCTCTCGACCTGTAGACCATGTGGGATGATGTGCGTCTTAATGTCGGGCTTGACTGACCGCGCGGTGGACAGGATCTGGTTCGCTTCGTCGCTTGTCCACATGGAGGCGCAGAACTAAGGCAAGCATTAGCGATGTGATTCTACATGTACCTTTGCATTACCCGAGTTGGCGACTGATGCTTACTACTAAATCGGGCTGGTACTCTTGAACCTTGCTCTCCACCTCATCGATCCCTGCGCATTTTTTGGCATTGTCAGAGATTCATTGTCCGTTGGCTTTTCATTTCGCGCACCGTAGTCTTCTTACTTTCGCAATTGGCGACATGCTCAATAGTATATCGGTCCTTGAGAGCCTCAGTGGTGCGGCCGACCAACCGCTTGGCCCTTTCCGGGGCCGTGTTTACCGTGACGAGACGGTACGAGCTGGCTGGCATAATCGGTACAGTGCTAAGTTTCTGTCTTGGTGAGGGACTCTCCTCTGTGAATGGAGGATGGTCGGTGTGGGTTTGCAGTGTGACTGGTAAGGAGGAAGCGATGCCTGGCTCGGACTGCAGGATCAAACACGACATTGTATACCTCACTGCCATGTTCGGCATGGATCCGATATTTGGGGAATTTCCCTTCGGCACCATTTCCGAACATCAAATGCCGGCTGGGCGAGCTGGGAATATGTGTCGCGTCTTTCGGCCGGTCCGGCTATTCCGAGCGTATTCGTAACTTCCCGGACTCCAGTCCCGTGTCCACCGCTGGTCGGGCGGCTACTCCGTACCGTATCTAGGTACCAGTAGATGTCTTGGATTGCTGCAGGTTGCGACGCTTACCGGGGGCTTGCTCGGGTTGGTAAATTGTCAAGGGAACCACCACAAAGGCCATCTCCAGAGAAAGTCCTTAAGCTCTATATGACTTGATGTAGCATTTCTCCGCTCATCTTCTTTTGTCAGATTCATCCAGTTCTGAGCTATTGCTACCCATAGTTTGGGACAGCATCAAAGACATCATGGTTCGTTATTGCATAATATTCGTCCCACTCCCCTTGCTTAATCTACATTTCTGACTTGGAGAGCTAGCATCAATCCCATACATCTCCAGAATGCTCCTCACCGCTCGATATTATGGTCATAGGCGCAGGCCTAGGCGGTCTAGCTACGGCTATTAGCGCCAGCCTTGCCGGCCATAGAGTGACCGTCTTCGAATCGGCAAAGGAGTTGCGAGAGGTAAGTCGGGTTACTCCCTAGTGAAGCAAATGATGATCAATTGAGAAAAAGGGAAAAACGACTAATGAGTAACAAGCAAAGGTCGGCGCTGGGTTGCAAGTCACGCCAAATGCCACAAAGATACTGCAACGGTTTGGACTGCCAGCGCGTCTGTGGGAGTCTGCCGCTGAGCCCACTGCTCTGCTCGTGCACCGCTATTCGGGCCAGGTCTTGGCCAGGGACGAGGGCTTCAATGTAAAGATGCGTCAAAAGTACGAAGCCCCTTTCTTGGATCTGCACAGGGTAGACCTCCAGCTATCCCTCCTCGACCGGGCGAAGCAGCTCGGCGTCCATATCAGGCTTGGCGAGAGGGTCAAGTCGATAGACTTTGACAATTCCGAGGTTACCTGCATCTCCGGGCAGAAAGCGCGTGGTGATCTTATTGTGGCGGCAGATGGCCTGTGGTCAAAATGCCGCTCGCTGTTCATGAAGAGTGAGCATCCACCGTTGCCGACAGGCGATCTGGCATACCGCATCGTCCTCGAGCTCGACGACATCACGGACCCTGAATTAGTAGACTGGGTTCAGAATCCCACTGTCCACTTTTGGATCGGGCCCGGCGCGCACGCTGTCGGATACTCACTCAAGGCTGGCACGATGTACAACATTGTATTGCTGGTGCCCGACGACCTGCCCAAAGAAGCGAGCCGACAAGCGGGATCTGTCGAGGAGATGATTGCCCTGTTTGATGGCTGGGATCCCATCTTAAAGCGGTTCCTCCAGATGGTGAATGGCGTAGAGAAGTGGAAACTGATGCATCGCAAGTTTAACCTCCACTCTATGCCCGAATTTCGCAATCCAGAACAGCCAAGTAATGACTAACATTGGTTACTGCATATAGTCGATGAGTTACCGTCTTGGGTGAACGATAGGTCGAACTTTGTGTTTGTGTAGGCATCCCTTCGAAGGCTCCCAGAAAAAAAAAACATGTTTGTCACTAACAACAAGGCTTTGGTTAGTGGCGACGCATGTCACCCAATGCTGCCGTACCTCGCTCAGGGAGCAAACTCTGCTATTGAGGACGGTGCAGTTCTCGGGCAGCTGCTAGGCCATATCAAGTCGCGCGACCAGCTACCCCAGGCTTTGGAAATGTACCAAGAGCTACGCAAGGCTCGTGGTGAAGCTATTGTTCAAGAGACATTCGAACAGGTAAGTGTTTGTCACTATGGGCCGTCTTTTGGCCTCGAGGTACTATTGAGACTGTTCTCACTAACGTGGTTTGTCTTATTCAGCGTAAGGCGTTTCACATGCCAGATGGCCCAGAGCAAGAAGCTCGTGACAAGATATTCCTGTCTCAGCTCGGCAGCGAGCTCAAGGGTCCTTTCCCTAGCCGGTGGACTTGCCCGACGATCCAACCCTGGCTATTTGGTTATGACGCCTCGGAGGAGGTTGAAGCGGCAGTCCGGAATCATCCATTCCCAGTTCGACGAGAAGGATGGCTTCTGTCTAGACTGGCGCCTTATCTCCCTGTAAAGATGCCATCACTTCACAAACTTGTGTCATGGCTCTGTGCCGTACTAAAGCTACGCTGAGCCGCCCAGCGCACGACGGTGATGGCACGATAACACCTCATGCGGTCACACATAAGCGACGCCATATTACTACATGAGGTTTCAAATTCTGAAAGTCATCCATGGAATATTTACTGGTTATTCACAATATGTACATGTATCGGAGTATGATCTGATATTTGGCACTGTCTTTGAACATAATTTCTAACTATTTGAACCTTGGAACCTCATAGACCCTGTAATAGCTTGTTACTGATATTACTGCACATCTACTAAATACTAGACTGTACTGAGTGTATACCAAAATTTGGTCATGGCCTGTTTATAACTCGATATAGTGTGGCCTTGACGAGATGTACCCTAAATTTCCGCCTAGGGATGGGAGCCCACTGCCGAACTTTCAGTCACATCTGTTCATGCAAAAATTCCCAGGGCTTCCAGTAAGTCTCAAGTGCCAGACGAAACTGCAAGAGCTCTACCAATAACCTCACACCTTAATGGGGCGTGGACTAGTCGAGAAAACCTTGAGTTCTAGGACGGCATGCGAAGAGAACAATTTGTGATATACGGTGGAGCGTGAGTGGCAATAAGAAGGCAATAGATGGAGACAATGGCTCTCTGAGCGACGACGCTAATGCATTGCGGTGTGAACTATCTGATGTGTGATGAATAATATATAAGGATATATATATAAGGAAGAAATGACCAGCCCATACCGGAGCCTTCCATTATCAGTGTCCACACTTGGCATGAGTTCAAAAAGAAAACACGATTCCTTCATCCACTACGAGACACCAGCGACTCGAGGAAATCAAATCCTTGCCGCTGGAGTTCCCAGGTGGTCGAACCGACTTTCATAGTTCCAGCAAACGTATGACCCTCATTGGGCACTTCAACCATAGCAGAATGTACATTGTTTTGCCTCAGAACTTTCAACAAGCCTTTGCTCAGTGACATTGGGACCATTTTGTCCTCGGTACCATGAGCAATAAAAGTTGGCGGGAAGGACGGTGTAATATTCCGGATTGGATCTACCTTGCTCCATTCCTTGGAAGGCATAACTACATCGAGAACCCGCCCGTTCGCAATCTGGGTGAATGCGAATGCTACTCGTGGGTCGCTAAAATTGGGAGCTCCTGTCGCCTGGCCCTCCAGAGACACGCCCCCGGTAGTGGGCACCGGCGACTCTTTGTAGACCTGCGAGATGAAACCGTCGGAGAGATTGGGAGGCAGCTTATCAGCTACATGTGGTAGCCGAGATGTCCAGAACGGATCGTCAAAGTGGCAAGGACCATACATGTCGTAAATACCCGCTACAGGACGAGGCACAGCAAACCCCTGATGGTTGGATTTGACGACGTTAACCACAAGATTCAACGAGCGAAGGAATTATCCCATGCATAACATGTTGACTTACAAGACACAGGGCCAGCATGCCGCCAGAAGATGTGCCAAATGCGAACACGTGGTCGAGGTCAAGGGGGTATTGGGCCGCGACCTCGGGAGGTAGTGCTTTCTCGAATCCACCATTATGCATCCATGAAAGCAGGTCTCGGCAGTCCTGTATTGGTCCTTCCAGGAGGTTTACCTGCGGACACAGGCGGTGATTTGGAACCAGGACAATCCAGCGTCTGTCCAGACAGTCTTTGACCTGATCCTTGTTGACCATGGCCGAGGAGCCAAGCATGAAGGCGCCGCCATGAATGTTGATGACTGCAAAACACTCGATTGGTCAGTCCAGAGGGTCAAGAAGCAAACCTGGGTGCTGTAGAGGTGACGTTACTTGAACAGTAACCATAATTGGGGGCATTGGGGGCCGGGGGAAACAGATAGACGTCTACATCTATCTCATGCCCGTCCACGACCTTGTAGACTAGTCTTCGTCGCGATATGCCAGTAGCTGTGCCTGAATCCATGATGTTGTGAGTCGTGATTGTCCCAGGGAGGGGAAGCCGGCGGGGGCCAGTAATGCTATTTACGCGGACACATTGGTTCGTCCTTAGGGACTTGAACTACTTAGTATCTGATTGGACATAATGAAATGGCTATGTACTCCGTACTCTTTCGGGTATTCAGGGAGGGTGACGAATCCAAAGGGCGGCACTTCCGAGAATGACGTTTGCGTGTGGGGAGACAGGGTCTAGATTCTAAACGTATCGCAGAACGGGAATTCCGAGTGCTACGAATCTCAAACTACTCCGATAACCGACTAAATGCACATGTCATTTGGACTGAACAATTTCAACGTGTAAACCGGTTGACGACCTTACTAACAAAGTCACCAGAGCCAGCCATGCTGCTCCTAACGACGAGCCAACGCGTTTTCTACGTAAAAAGAGATTCAGTAGTGAAGTTGCGTTTTGCACAATACTTCATTTACAATCATTGGTTCAACGTGTAGGACAGCTGCTTCATGAATGCAATTACCATTGATTGGTTATGCTCGCTTGCGGCCACAAACTGTGGAAGAGTCTATGCCTAGCCCTAAAGTAAAAAGCCCGCTCCAAAGTCATAACTAGCCAAGTCTTGCCACAGCGCTGCTGCAACCATCTCGGAATTTTGCATCGTTCCACTCTTGAGCCTGCTCCGGAAGCACGAAGCCTTGGTATGGCGTCCCAGCCCTCCGAATGATCTCTTCAACTCCAGTGCCATTTGTGAAGGAAATGGCGCGCACATAGCGTGCTTTAAAGCAGAGCGAGAAAGTCTGGCCCGCGGGAATCACCACAGTCTGACCCTCGCGGACTTCACTCCATGCGTCCTCGCCGCCATTGTCGGTCTCGTACAGCTTGACGCCGAGGACACCCTCCATGACGACAAAACAATGGGCGACTTTTTCAAACGTCACCCGCTGCGAAAAGGGATTCAGAGAGCCGTCGTAGAGCTTTGAGGACTCGATGCTCGAAATGGCAAACTTGCCGCTGCACTGCGAGGCGTGGATAAAAGGCCGTGACATGACGGCGCCGAGCATCCATCTTGGGCCCGTATTGCCACGGAGGTAGTAAGGTTCCAGAGGGCCCGGCAGGACGCACTCTGTGCCGTCCCAGTCCGACACTTCTGCAGGATCGTGGTCCCTGGCAAAATGTACGTCAAACTTGTCCTTGGCAGCCATGACCTTGGGGATCAGCAGGCTTTTCAAGTCCCGGCTATCGTCCTCGGGCACGATGATGCCAGAGTAGGTCTCGCTGACGTAACGAAAAAAGTCGACCCAGTCGCCTGGTGCGATTAGACCGAGCGTCTCCGTATGCGGCCCCAGAAGCTGGGGATTGTGGATGAATTTCTGTCGTCGGTGTTAGTTTTGTCTCGTTGTGCACCCTCGAATATTTCCTCTCCGCATGTCTTGTTGATGCCACTCACAGGAGGAATATAGGCGAAATCTCCTGGTCCTAGTATTTTGCACTTGTCTCCGTTCCATAGCTTGAGGAAACCCTTTGTGACGAGAAAGACGTCGTGGGCCTCGTCATGCCAGTGGAAACCAGGAGCGTCTGAGATTACAGCGCCGCTGGAGAATACGGCGATGCCGCCGTCTGTCTGTTTTGAAGAAGCCAAGATGCGGAACGCGCCTTTGCTGCCAGGGATAGTTATGCGCTCTCCCTCGAGCTGATCTACAATGTAGCTCTGTTTCTGGCTCGGCGGTATAGACAGCAGTGGAAGAGACATTTTTGCGCCAGTTCTTTCTGCGCTAATTGAGTCGTGTTCAAAGAAGCTTGCAGATGGTGTTACGAAAAGATTAAAAAGGACGTCCGGTGGAGAGTTAATAATGAGAAGAGACACAGTTGCGAAGACGTTGTTAGCTGCACCGTCAACAGACCCCTGGTTGGCTTCGACCCCGAACTCCACCCCGTCGGAGAATGAGGGGACATCTGGACTCGGAAGAGCGTGGATAAGGGGAACATTGAAGCCCGGAAATGCCGGACATCCCTGCACAACGGCACTTGTCTGCAAACCGTGCCCCATGTTTTCAAGGGGTCGGTAGTAGGGTCTTCCCTGCACAGCTTGAGGATAAACAATCGTCCCCACATGTGCGTGTCAGAAATACGACAGCACTACAATATCACGGAGACAATTCAACTGTATGTTTAAAAGAATATCGTTCTGTTGATTTTCAGGACTGGAATCCTCCCAGACTAAAATAACTTTTGTAATGCTGCTTCCCGCTGTTGGGATTGGCAATTAAATCAACATTTGAATTGTATTGACAGCCCCCCCCCCCCCCCCCCCCACAAAAAAACAAACAAAAAAAAAAAAAAACACCAGCCGGTCGTGATTCTCAACTATTGCCGCGTCTCGTCCTCTTG